AGTGGACCCAGCCTAAAACCCCAAGCATAATGTCTTTTACCAGGAAGCCCGAACCAACCCCAAGGGACATGTAGTGTGTGTGCAAATTAGATCTGTGTTGTTTTACAAAAAAGAAAAAACCTCACTGCCATAGGGTTGATTCTGACCCATAGTGACTCTACAGGGTAGAGTATAATTGGCCCTTTGGTTTCCAAGGCTGTACATCTAGATTTCTGTAATTTTGAGGTTTTTGTTTACTTTACTGAGATAACTATAGATACACTATAAAGTGCACTCCTTTGATTATACAGTTTTATGCATGCTAGCAAATGTGCATTATCTGTAACCTATGCTGTCATAAGGAGTCTTGTAATCACACTGGAAAGTTCACTTGTGTCCCTGGGGTAAATCACTGTTTTTACTTCTATCATCATTGCTTAAATTTTCTCTATTGTAATTTGTTTCTGGCTTGCCTCAGCCTCACCTTGTAGCCTTTGACAAGTTCAATGAGATCAGTTGACCTCTGAAGACTTATTCCAGTTCTCTGAGTCTATGAACCGCTATTTTGTACCTATCTGAAGAAGCTTCCAAAAGTTCATGGAAAAAATTGACTTAAGGATAATGGAATTTTCCCATGAATATTTGAACTGCCCTGGAATCTTCATTCTATGGCACATGACCGCTTACAAAGCCCACTGCCGTCAATCAAGTCGATGCTGACCCAAAGTGACCCTAGAGGATGGGGTAGAACTGCCCCTGAGTTTCTGAGAGACTGTAACTCTTTATGGGAGTACTAAACCCTTTCTTCTGTGGAATGGCTGATGGTTTCAAACTGTGAACCTTTCAGTTAGCAGCCCAGTGTGTATAACCACTATGCCACCATAGCTCCTAGGGAAAAATTATACTCTTTATCAATGATCACGGTATCAATGTGACAGATTGTTCAAGGGCAGTATGGAAAGATCATCAGTGTTCTAGACTGAGGGCACCTTGATAGGGGTTAATGGGAATCTGATGTTCCTTGCAGAAACAAACGACTGGTAGACAAGGTAGAGACTCCCAAATAGATGAATAATAATTGGGAAAAGAGAACCAAATTCATCATGTTTCACTGATCTGGAACAGAACTGAACTTACAAAGTATAAAATACACCTTCACTTATGGTGAGAAAAGTGCTAGCAGATGGTGCTAATGAAATCAGGCTCAGGGTCACTTAAGGGGCAACCAAACTTCTTGATCTCCTGCTAAGTCTAGACAACCTCTTTAACTGTCGGTTCTTCCTTTAACTCTAAGCATTCTTTTTCAAACTTCAGAGTGTGTCCATGATCATGGATAAGCTTGATTTTATCACATTTTCTTTCCTGGATGTTTAAATATCCTTACTGAACATGATACTGTGCCCACCACCCCAGAGGTGTGCTATGGGTCTATAATGGTAAGCCTGCTAGGTCTAACCTTGATCACTGTTTTAGGTTTTTCTTTCTGGGAATTTCTATAATGGACCTAACATAGAAATATAGATTTGCTATCTTCTAGTCTGTGGTAGTTACATAATCTGGTGTCACATTGAGAGGATTACGAGTGAAGGGGTTGAGTCCGGCCTGTATCAAGATGTAACCAAAGTGTGGGCATGGCCTTTTCCTGAGCATTCTGGAAACTCCTGGATTTCCTCCTTGGAGGCAGGAGACTCTCTCTCTCTACTCCCTCCCTGAGAGATGCTCTACTGACAAGACACATGGCACTATGCCCTGGGAGCTGGAGAAGCAGCATGGACCTACCCTGCTACAACCAGAAACCTCTGGAGCGGAGAAGCCACGTAGAGACCCCTGCCAGTGCTGAGATGCTTACAATGCCACTGGATCCAGAAGACTTCCAACTCACTGGCCTGCGATCTTCCTGCACTCGGCGTCTTTGCATGTGTTTCGTGAGTCTGAAGAGGAATTTACAGATTGGTATCGGACATATGGGCTAATATCGGACTTATGGACTTGATCTGGACTGGGCTGGGATGCTTTCTCAAAATTCAATTGCTCTTGTATATAAAACTCTGTCTTATTCACACGAGTCTCTATGAATTTGTTTCTCTAGTCTACCCAGGCTAACATAAAGTCCTTTTCCTATCCAATCATTATTGGGAAAGGGACTTTTCTAACCAGAAAACACAACACAAAGCTACCATCTGCTAAGCATATAAAGTCAGCTCATTTCTCTCATGGATAGCAATTCCATGAAGTAGTTATATGCTTGGTGTGTAAAAGATGAAGTGAAGCACAGGGATTATTATGGCTCTTCCTTAGGACACGAGGTTAGAGGCAGGCTACAAACTCAGTCTGATGGCAGGGCTAGAATTTTAACCTGCAGTTTCCCAACAAATGAGCTGCCCTAAATAATTTGCCCCCTAAAGTTCTCATTGTTGCATTTCCATTTTCTCACTGGAGCCTCAAAGCATTTGACTGGTATCATCTGTATATATTCTAAGAAGCCCTCATGGAATAGTGCGTTAGATGCTGGTCCCCAAGCACAGCAGTTCAAAGCCACCAGTGCTCTGCCGTATGCAGACGAGGTTTCTACTTGCATAGAGTTACAGTCTCAGAAACCCAAAGGGCAGTTCTGGCCTGCCCCCAGGGTTACTACGAGCAGAATGGACTTGACAGCAGTGAGTGAGTCGATCTTCTAAGTATTTCCAGGAAATCACTACTGAGCAAATGCCATTCTTACTTGGAGTCCTTCGGAGGCACAAAGGGTAAAACATTTGACTACTAATCAAAAAGTTTGATGCTTTGAACCTGAGGTGCTTTGGAAGAGAGGCCAGGGTAGTCTTGAAACAGGTCGCATGCAGCCACGAAAACGTGAAGCACATTCAGCAACACGTGGGCTCATGAGCAGAAATCAATTTGACAACAACTGATTTGGTTTCATGCTACCTGGCACCGAGCCAGACATATGGTCCTCCTAGAATCTCCTTCGAGCTGTGCTGCCACGGAGCGGCAGTTGGCCATCACTGACAATTTCAGCCGCTCTATATACCTGGATCCCCATGGCTCATACCCATGGTGCTTGTACTTGTTTTGTATTATACACCACTGATCTGTAAGCAGAATGATCAACGTAAAGAACACACTTAATTTGCTAATCAGTCCTCAGCCAGAAAATGTAGTAAAGAACCCTATTAACAAAATGAACCTGGAACTGACATACTGTTTTATTAGCATAATGTCTACACCTCAGAGCAGATGCCAACCATAAAACCCAGCACCTAGGTCTCAATAGGAACAAATGATCTAATTTATTATTTCCAGGACAATGCCCCAGTCCCCAGAGGAGGAGGTCATGTTTGGTAAAGTGGAAGGGCAGCGAAACAGAGGAAGATCCTCAATGAGATGGGATGACACAGGGGCGTCATCCATGGGCTCGGGCATCAGAACAATTGTGAGGGTGGTACAGGACCGTCAGTGTTTTGTTGTGCTGTGCACAGGGGACGCTCTGAGTTGGAGCCGCCTCGATGGCACCTAACAACATTAATACTGTGCCAGGTGTTCCTGCAGCTAGACAGCCCAGGTCCTGCCTTGTGAGGAAACACTAATGAAGTGAACTGTGCCCAGGTGATAATGGTTAACAAGCTCTGCGAGCAGGGTGTGCCACCTCGAGCCCGAGACACCAGGTCACAGGAAGCCAGGCACTCAGTGCCCACCTACCGGCTGCTGTGAGTTGACGCTGCTTCACGGTGACTCATGAGTGTCAGAGGACAAGTGTCCCAGGAGATTTTCCAATGGCTCCTTGTCTTCCGATACAGTTCACCAGGCCTTGCTTCTGCAAATGTAGACTTGAAAACAGCTCCTCAGAATTTGTTGCCCAAGAAATACTTACCCTTTGATAGGAATAGTTCGTTTTCCAGTAATGTCTGCAGAAAACAAGCTAGTCAAAGGAGTTATCACCCTACCTCCAAACTCTTAAACCCCTAGATTCTTTGTACCTCTCTCCTTCCAGAGGGGTTTTCCCATAGAAGCTGGCCCGTGGAATATTTCTGTGAAAGCTCATTAACCTAATCTGCTATGTGATCTTTCACTTGCTTTTTGGTTTCAAATAACGTGGTAACCAAGTCAGAGGGTCACCTGAGGCAGAGGGGTCTTTAAGATCTAATCTCGTGAGACGCTGACGATGGAAAGCCGTTTCCACCGCAGGTCATACACAGCACGCACAGAGTTGAGTGCTTGCTTACTCACTAGTACCACAGCTTAGTAGCAGAAAGAATGAAAGAATACTGAAAAGAAAGCAGAAAGAATACTGAAACAATGTTTATATTAGTATAATATACATAATATAAAAGCTTACTCATTTGGAAAATGGGGACTTACAAACATATTTTGCAGTCCTTGGGATTTCTAATGCCAAGGTCTATAAAGTGCCTAGTTCATGGTAGAAGTTCAATTGTAGCTTTTATTTGCAGGATTGTTAGAGTGTTTCCAAACACCTACTTTATAGCGCCCAGTGACTCTGATCATGCTCTCAAAAAAGTTCCAGAGGCAATCCCAGCTTCTATTTGCTAGCTAATGGATCATCGGGCATGAACAGAAAACAAAAGGAGCATCTCTCACTTCCTTGGGCCAGGTACTCTGCTGGGCACTGAATATTGGCCACTGCCTGGAGAAACGGTCTTCCTGTCCCCCACCCCACCACCGGTGAACAGGACGAGCCTAAGAAATCACATTTGGAGGCCTCCCAGTGGCCCGTGGAACTAGTGTGTGGTGTGACTCCCAAAGCCCATGCCTCCTGTTTTAAGAGCTATTTCTAAAAGTAATCGATTGTTTCTCTGATCACTGAGAACTCTCCAATAATCTCGTGCGCACGGAGAGGTAAGAACAAAGCGCTTCACAGAGCTCTCACGAGGACTATGGAGAAGGACAGTTGTGATTTGTGTTCTGCCAGTCTTAGGTCAGCCATGCTAAGGGTGGGCAGGCTGAAAGGCTCACACAGGACAAAATGAAAGCATTTCAGAGTTAAATGTTAAGCACAAAAGATGTACTTTAAAAATGTTTTTATTGAATATTAAACAATACAAGTACTGCAAGGTAGACATTTAGCCAAAGCACAATTACGGGTTAAATATAATCACAAAGAGGTCTTAAATAGAAACCCACCGCATAGGTCGGTGAAGCTCCTTGATGCCCTCCTTTTGGAAATAGTAAGTCAGTCAGTCTTCCATTCCAGGTGAAAGCTACAGAGACTGCACAAGTTTACATGCTGTAAGCAATTTTCCACGACCATATTGATAGGACCCCAAGTTCTGATTAAAACAGAAACAGATGCCCGGTTAAATTTGAGGCTCAGATAAATAGTGTTTTCGTGCAAGTATATGCCAAGTACTGCATGGGATATACTTCTGCAAAGAAGTGATTTGTTGTGTATCTGAAATTCAAATATAACTGGACAGCTTGTAATTTATCTGACAATCCTACAGACAAATGCCAAAAAGAAAGGGTTGGGGTTGGAAGCCCCTGCCACTGGTGGTTTACACAGAGAGTGACGACACCAACAAAGAACCAAAGAGCCACAACACTGGTTACGCACAGAGTCTGACACCACAAGGGGAAATTCAACGACTACTCCAATGCTGGCTGCTGCCAGGAAACATCTTCCAGGTTTCCTCAAAGCTGGCTTGTAAATGTTGAGACACCTTACTGATAACAAGTACCTCTTAGTCTGTAGCTTTTCATTAGTACACAATTTAGACAGACGGTATCAAAGACAAAGATTACTACCACAAAGACAGGTGCGCTTGAGACAATGGGAGTATAAGCAGGTATTCTATGCGCCTGACGACTTTCCATCATTTGAGTAATGAAGACAATGGTTATATAGTCAAGGTCATCTTCTAGGTCTAGGCCAAGAACCTCAGAGGTTTCTGGGCCTTTCTAATTTTGACTGCCCTTCTTCAGAGATGTGTATTTTGTTTCCAAATACATTATCAACTGTATTCCTAACAGAGGTGTGTTTTTTAACCTCCTCATCTTGAACCTTGGGGGAGGGGCTAGAAGGTTTACAAACAATCTGAATCAACAAAGGGCTCTCGGGGCTGCCTGCAGAAATGGGTGTGGGGTGGAAAAAAGCCCAAACACAATCACCCACGTTCTGGAGCATGAGAGAAATGCTGGAAAAGCGGGTGGTGGGACGTGTGTGAAGACATGAAAGTAGAAAGGAGCAAAGAAAATGTGGGAAGATAAAGAGCCCAAACGAGTCATCTCTCCAACACAAATGTTAGTTCAAAGGGACAGAGCTAAAAAACTGGTCACACCAGGACCATACTTGGTCTTGCAGCATATACATAATCTTTAGCGTTCCACTGATTTGTACCTTAGTATCGCCAGTTTCTATTGAAAACAAAAATCACTTTGTACAGCACCCAGACTATCTCTCTACCTGCTTTCATTGCCGGAAGTTGTGGCTGCATCCCCACGGCGGTGCTGAAATCTTCCCCATCTTTCTCCAAACCAGATATGGCAGCAGACCGCTTGTGGAAATTCAGGTTGGACTGGGTGTAGGTCAGCTCTCTTGCACAAAAGGGAGTACTGCTTGTGAACTCTGTTCTCATAAAACGAGTTTCATGGGTACAGAGCCTCGGAGATGTGCCCGCCTCCCTGTCTCCTGTTAAAACACTAAGAAATAGAACTATGTTTCCCCTCACTTACTACAGTACAAGTGGTTAAAAAGTTTTTGCCATAGTAAGGCTTTCTTAAGAAAAGTTGAATAGTCTAACCATTTCAGAGTACACAAGATGCCCAAAAGAGAGCCCCACTATACAAGTGGTAGGGTTTTTTAAATGTATTTTCTTTTCAAATGCTAAATAACGCCCAACCACAAATCAACACCACTTTGACGATGATTTCTCATTTTTCTGTCCCTCCTTTGCCATCAGACAAATACAACTTGTCTCTTTCCAAAAATCTGACATAAACTCCATCTAAATGTCACTTGTAAGTGGTCCCTGAATGACTTATAGTCTTACTTCTATGCAAGACATAACCCAACAGAAAACTCAGTGAGCACACTGCTGATCACGGAGACCACACAAGGGGAGGGGAAGTACTCACAAATGCACACCATGTCTTGTTTGAAAGGCCACCCACAGTAATCTCAGGAGTGCACGTTTGAAACGGGTGGGTGAGCAAAGTCCAGTAACCCTTTGGGCAATTGGTAGATGTAATGAACATGAGAAAAACCAAGACAATTTACTCCCCTTTGTTTTTTATGTAATGGCTATAGTAACAGAAGATTAATCTATTTAACTTGAGTTGTCATATTCATACATTTCTCTGCACAAGTCAATGCACTGTGCTAGTTTGAAGGCAAACGGAAGTTAGTCTAGTCACGAACCATCGAGCTCAGAGGAGCACAAGGCTGTGCGTCACGAAAACATCCTCCTACGGTTGGTTCTACTTATGCTGTTTGAAAAGCTAGTGCTGCGAACTCTAAGAAGGAAAGGAAATGAGCTGGCTGAACTGCTATTCCTTTGCATAGAATGAAAACTCTGAGTCTCACGCTGCCATTTACTAACAAAGCGGCAGAATCTTCTGGACACGGTACACGATGCTGTATACCCGTTTCCTGTGGTTGTGACAGAAAAACAGAAAGGTAAATACACAGTAACCTTTTGCAAGACCCAAGAAGAAAGGAGGAAACTGAATTGAGCCAAAGAGAACTGGTGGAGCCAATGATACTTCCAGACAAGCAATCTGGAGAAAGGGCACAAATTTATGCTCGAGTCAAGTTATCCAGCTGGTCCAAACCTGATCAACTGGATCCATCTGGTCTAGCCCTGGGAGTCTGAAAGGTGGGGCGTGGTAGTGGTGGGGCGTGGGGGTGGTGGTGGGGGTGGTGGTGGTGGTGTGTGTGTGTGTGTGTGTGTGTGTATGCGCGCGCCTAATTCTCTCTTCCTTACAGATCGGGAAACAGAGGGGCCATTTCAGGGGAGGCGATATTGGAAATCTTGTTAGTACTAAATAGTGCAGATACAACAAGTTAAATAGATTTAGACTGACTTATTGCCATGCTTTTAATACTTCAGAGAGTTCTTAACAGTGCTATAGATGAAAATTACAAAGGTAATCACTTTTGTTAACTTTATCATGAATTTTAATGAAGTTCTGAGAAAAATGAAAAATTGGCCTTTGACATATCAGTTAACCCAATCTTCTTAACAGATGAATAACATTTGTATATTTTCCCAAGAACTACTACATACTCACATGGCGCCCAGGAAAGGGCCACTGCAAACGTGTTCCTTGCACAGCACCTTGACTTGGCACACAGGGCATCAGGTGCGTCACACTGGCACTTTAAATAGTGAACCACAGTTTAACTTCTCAAGTGTAAGGCCCAAGTTTAAAAATGACATAGCCACGAGTCAAGTCAGTACAATGGAAACGTAAATCGAAACCATAAATCTTTCAGATAGCTACACCATATAACCCCTTTTAATTAACTAAAAATCACCACTGTGTTAATCATTTTAAACTCTACGTGAGGAGGCAAGTAATACACATGTTCCCAGCTACTGAAACGACACAGATGGCAATGCCTTCAACCTTTGTGACACACAGCGAAACCAAAAGGAAGGGAAAAGAAAAACTCTCTGAAAGAATAGCAACCTCGGAGGGTTCCTGTGCGGTTCTAGTGCTATTAACTAGTAGCCAAGCCACAGACCCAGCCGAGGTCCCTGACACTTCAACAGAAGCGACACCGAGGCGAAGGCTTGATTTAATTGTGTGGACCCGTGAACACTCAACTACGAAACTCCAAGTGCCGGATGTCTAGTTCTAGCAGAAAGACAGCACGCAAATGCTTAGTGAAGAGCCTGTGTTTGTGCATGTGACAAGTTTGTTTTTCTTCAAGAGATTAAATGAGATCACAGCTTAATCAGTGTGCATTAAAAAACCAACTGAAGTTTCCTAGACTTTAAGTTGAAGTGGAGAGTTTGTGTCATACTGTTTTCTTTTTTTCCCTCACAATTATGTTACTTTTTGCTTCATAACTGAGTCGATGAAGAGCATATCAAGGCAAATAAATTACTCCACTCAATTCAATGTTCTGCTACGGTGAAAGGTCGAGTATGTGAACGCTAAGGGATATTCTTTTTACAAGTGTCAGTGTGCACCTGGCAAATGCTGATTAAAATAAGCAAAACTAAGTAGTAACTTTGCAAATAAAACAATATGCTTTTGCTTCCTCATATTCTTTAAAACAAAACAAAAAAACAAAACCCCGCAAAAAAAGGAAAGGGCTTTGGTTTCAATTTTTGCTCCTTGTCTAAATATACTGAGTCTGACAGAATGATTTAAAATTTTAGTACAGGGACTTATGGAAAGTCATTAAACTCCAAATCCGAAATTATTTAAAAAAAAAAATCTAGTAATGGACTTAATTCCTAGTTTTCAAAGGTACAGGAATAATAAAGAAATATCTTGTAACATTCACGGAATACAACTGTTCCACTGAATTGTAAATAAGGCAGTTGATCTGGGGAGGAGGAGGGGTACGCGGCAATCCTGGTGGTTCACATTAAGCAGAAGGAAGCATTTATCCTCAGCTGCAGCCCCTTGCTCCTTTTCTGCAGCAACATTATAGAACCACTAGGCTCCTCGGCCCTAGTGCTCCTCGTCTCCTCCACAGACTGAAGACCAGACGAGCATCGCTTGCCAGCTTCCCTGGCTGGGCTTCTCCTGTTCCCAGAAGGCTGGTGGGGAAGGAGAAAGATGGGCCTGACTGGGGAGTTCCTGAATCAGGCTGGTGCATGTGCCCCTCCCTTTAGGATGTGCCAGGTAAAAAAAGGACATGCAAAAACTTGTCCCCCCCCCCTTTCCATCTCAATTTATGTTTACGCCGAGTACAAATATAAAGTAAAAAGGAAACAAAGGAAATAAACTCTTATTTAGTCGGAAGGTTCAGTTGCATTGCTAATGATTTTAGTCAGTATGACTTTGTGCAAAATATCCTTAAGACAACTCTGGCTCATTTTCAAAGTAACTAAAACAAACAAACAAAGAAAAAACAACCCCAAATCCCCAACCAAACAAAAAATCCAAATAAAACAAATACAAAACAAACCTAACAATGCATGCTTGAGAAAAATTAAAAATGTGCCTGTGATGTGAATTGTTACTTACATGCCATTTCTAGCAACAAAATGAGTGTAGTGTGTGAATTTTGAACATTTGGAACACCACTGGTTATGTTTTCCTTTTTACATTTCCAAATCTAGATCCAAGCGCTATTGTTTTAGAATTGGAGAACTGCAGTGAAAATGAGCCTGAGATGTGTTAAAAGGCCGCCCTGTAAACATTTCCTCAAGGGAACAGTAGCAATTGAGTATGTATCAGTTACTCATACTATATTCATCACTATCGCAATGCTTTATAAAAGACAAACAGCTTATTTCTAGGCTGTCGGGGAGTTAGAGAAAATTGATTTTCGTCGAAAGCAGTCAACTGTAATCCAGTCCCAGGCTGCAGGCTGCGCTGGCCGTTCCGGCGGGCCTGCCTTCACTAGGTCTTCTGCTCGGCCGCGGTGGCCGTCTGTGAAGGGGCTTCAGGCTTCACGATCTGGTACGTGATGAGATACTCCGGGTATGCCTGGAACGGACACCGAGAAACACAGTCACCCTTCTGGGACCTCCCTTAAAGCTTGAATTGATGCGGACACTGCAGAGGTTGCCAATTCTGACCAATATTCCACGTACATCCAGGAGCCTGGAAGTTCACACGCTTAAGTATTTGTATGTACTGTTAAAGGGTCCTTTCTGCTTTGAAAACTCTAAATTAAATTTTCTTTAGTTACATTGCCTTGATTTCTCATGAGAACCCCAAAAGGAACATAAACTCCACGGGTCAGCAAAGGATCTGTCCCACCCACCCTGTGCTCCTGCCTCGCATGTTCTTAAAAGAAAGGAGAACTTTGCTGGATGGATTTCATATTAAGCACAGCATATGATCTAACCACTGAGCTAAAAGGGTGTCGAGGCCATAGTTTGGTGACTAAAAACAAGTAGCAATAACTTATGGCAAGGCATAGAATCACCCTGGAAAAAGCCATGTAGCTTGGCCTTGGTTCTTCCCGCTAAATTCTATTTGAGGATAAGGAATTGGGGCTGACCAGTTGCAGAGGAAGCACCTGGGGTCTTCATGCCGACTAAGTCTCACAAGGCATGGTACAATGGAGGGAGGCTTCCTGGTGGTTGACCAGGCATAGGAGAGGGCAGCATGTCCCTCTTCTGGGCTATCACCCAACACGGTCCTCACTCGTTAGGTTCCTATTCAGATACTTTTTGGTTGCAATAAAGTTGTACCTCAAGTATGGGCATCCTTCAGGAATTTTGTGAACTAATGAACCCACAGGGGCAGTGAGAGCCAGCAAAGGCTGGTGTCCACCAGTCTGGCAGTCTAGAGGTGTCCTTCTAACATGTGCCAGCCGTCAGTGACAAGGTTCAGACAGCTGGCACGATGAAGGAGCCGTGGGAATGTGAGCACAGGATCTCTAAGTTACACTGTGGGGCCTGGCTCCATACTGATCCTCAGCACACAGTTAATGAGTGGGAGCGGCGGGGTCCAATTTGCCCCTTATGGAGTGCACTAATTTAACGTATTGTTTCAGAGAAAAGACGATGGCTCAGACGTAGATCACCATTCCCGCACACCGTCTTTCTTTCTCTTTGCTTCTGCTTTCAGTAAGTAAGACAGCGGGCTCAGTGGCTGCATGGGGAAAGGCACCTGTGAGGCGAGCACGAACGGAAGCCAGAGCAGAGCAAGCTGCCACACACGAGAACCAGAAACCGCTCCAAGACAGCTGCTGGCTGGAGACAGGTTAAAAACCTCTCCAGACCAAACTCGGTGTCTCAACCACAACCAAATTCTTCAGTCCTAAACATACCAGTGATTATGTAATTTTGATCTTGTCTATTCCTATGCTAAATGAATTCTGGACTATTTCTAAAGTATGGAAAATAAGGCGGCATTTTCAGAGTGGTCTATGCCTAAAAAAAATGGGACTCTTTGAGGAAGAAAGTATTTGGGGGTCCCTAAAATAATTTGTGTAATGTTGACTTATGAATTATTTGACCTATATTGATCCTATAAATACAGCTATAGGATAAGGCAATTAAAGGAACAGGTGAAGAAAAATTGGACTGTTTAATATTTAAAATGCAGAAATAGACGGGTGACAGATGTGCTGAATTCTTTCTATTTTCTACACCTTTGACCTTATAAGGAAGAAATTTATAAGCCTGTTTCACATTTTCCTTATTCTAACAGAAAAATTAGTGAAGATTAAATATATAAAGACGGTAGAGTAGGTCTGGCACCATATTAATCCATTGTTATGAATCAAGTAAACTTTTTTTTTTTTTTTTGAATCAAGTAAACTTGATGGTAATGGGTTTGGCCTTTATTGGCATTATTCGTTCAAGCTGATCCTTTCTAAAGAGATCTCAGCAAGGCTAGAACAAGAACAGTAAATGTGTGTTCAGAAATGACAACCATTTGGTGGTGCAGTAGTCCTAAGTTGGGCTGCGATCTATAAGGCGTGCAGTTCAAGGCCACCAGCTGCTCCGTGGAAGATGGACTTTCTATTCCCGTAAACAGTCAGTCTCGGGAACTCACCAGGGTGATTCTACGCTGTCCCACAGGCTTGCTATGAGTTGTCATCAACTGAATGACAGTGAGTTGGTTTGGTTTATATCTATCAATGCAAGCAACCATTCCAACCAACTCACTGTCACTGAATCAATTCCAACTCAATAGGACCCTCCAAGACAGAGCAGAACTGCCTCATGGGAAACCCCAGGCTCTAGTCTCACCTCTCCCCCCATGTACCTGTTGATCACCCTCTGGGTGTTGAGCAGGTGGGAGGTTCAAACTACTCATCTTGTGGTCAGTAGTCCAACAAATAGCCCACTAGCCATCCTCGAACTCCTAAGGAAGCAATATGGCTCATAAAATAATGACTTTCCAAAATTTCTATTAATTCCACTCACATTTCCCTATGCCATGAGTTAAAAATGGCAATGGTTCTCATCTTTATTACATTTAGAGAGAATAAATAAAATGAACTATCTCAAACTCTTCTGACTTTTTAACCTGAAAGGTTTAATAATGGAATACGTAAGCCTGTACTTTATAATTTACACAATGCTTAATTCTTGAAACAGTTTTAAATTGGCATTTTAGTTTTTAGTTATTAGCCAGCTACCTACTGCTAATTCTAAAACTGGGAATAAAGAATATAGTAAAGCTAGACACGCGTGGACTGTCGAACAATGGAAATACTGTTTAGTCAACCAGACCAGTAAAACGTTGTTATGGACCGAGTTGTGCCCTTTAAAATATATGTTGAAATCCTAGCTCTATGCCAGTGGATCTAATCCCCTTTGGGAAGGGTTTTTGTTATGTTAATGGGACTATGCTAGTCTAGGGTGTGTCTTAAACTAATGACTTTTGAGGTATAAGTAGGACAGAGCAGACACAGAAAAAGCAATCACAAATGGGGAGGTCACCAAGGGGCTGAGGCACACCAACACACTAGAAGCTAAGAAGGAGTTTCTGGTCAGGTGAACAAAAGCCCGCCTTCCCCTAGAGCCAGGGTCCTGAATTTGGACTTGTAGCTTTCTAACTGGTGGAAAAAATGTTTGTTCCACTTAAGGTATTTCTTAATACCTTAACAGCAACACTAAAACACTAATCGAGAATATTACATGTTCATTACCAACATGAGGGAGCTTCAAAAAGGTCATGGAAAAATGAACACTCTGAAACTCTCCCTATATATATGTTGATCGTCCTCTAGGTATGAAGTCTCCTTTTGCTTGTAAGGATACACCAGAATATGAAAAGGAAGAATTAGAAAATTACAGAGCTTGATCAAGGCCAATGTAACCCCGAGGAATTAACAAAAGCCGAATGAAGGTTGAATACGATAGCGGGACAAGAGGAAAGTAAAAGGAAATAGAGGAAAGAACTAGGAAGCAAAGGACATTTATAGAGATCTAAATACAGGCATGTAGATATATAAGTACATTTATATAATGTGATGAGAATTGTACGAGTCCCAAATAAAATAATTTTAAAAAATACATTTATATATAATGATATGGAAACAGATCTATATATATATTTATATGTTAAGTATTAAGACGGACATCGGGCCTCGACTCAAGTACTCCCTCAACGCAAGAAGACTTTGTTCTAATAACCCGGCATTCTGTGATGCTCACTTTCCTGACATGATCACTGAAGTCAAAATGGGTGCATAAGCAAATGTGGTGAAGAAAGTTGATGGTGCCCGGCTATCAAAAGATATAGTGTCTGGGGTGTTAAAGGCTAGAGGATAAACAAGCAGATATCTAGCTGAGAAGCAACAAAGCCCACATGGAAGAAGCACACCAGCCTGTGTGATTATAAGCCGTTGACGGGATCAGGTATCAGGCATCAAAGACCCAGAACAAAAAAGTTGTATGAATGTGAATGAGGGGGTATGTGGAGTAAAGACCCAAAACCCACCTGCAGACAATTGGACATCTTACAAAAGGGTCACAAGGAAGAGATGAGCCAGCCAGGGTGTAGTATAGTACCAACGAAACAAATAACTTTTCTCTAGTTCTTTAATGTCCACCCGCCCCCATCAAGACCCCAATTCTATCTTACAAATCTGGCTAGACCAAAGCATGTACACGGGTACAGAGAAGAGCTAGAAACAAAGGGAATCCAGAACAGATAAACCCCTCAGAACCGATAATGAGAGTAGCAATACCAGGAAGGTAAGGGTAAGGTAGAGGTAGAAAGGGAGAACGGATCACAATGATCTACATGTAACCCCCTCCCAGGGGGATGGACAGCAGAAAAGTGGGTGAAGGGAGACAGTGGTCAGTGTAAGATATGAAAAAAAATTTATAAATTATCAAGGGTTCATGAGGGAGGGAGGGTAGGGTAGGGGGGAAATGAGCTGATACCAAGGGCTCAAGTAGAAAGAAAATGTTTTGAAAAGGATGATCGCAATATATGTATAAATGTTCTTGACACAATGGATGTATGTATGAATTGTGTTAAGAGCTGGAAAAGCCCCCAATAAAGTGATTAAAAAAGAAAAAAGAAAATTACTGGCAAATGCTGGCTGATCTAGCAAATGGCTAGTGTCAAAAAGAAAAAGTTCCAAAGACATTTAAGATAAAAGACATAACACTCTTTGGCTTGCAGAAAAGTGGCTTAAGCAAAGGAGTCATTGGTAATGCCAGCAATTGAATTTTGGTAACACAAGATTTAAAGTGAACTCTGACATCTAAATTTTAGTCAGGCAGATTAAATTGGCATAAATTGCTAACAAAACAAAACAACACCCCAACCCCACCCCTATTTGAGTGCTCCTGAACCCTACAGGCTGGGATATTAAATGGCTTCTGTGTGTCGTTTAAGATACTGACATCAAAGTCTAGAAGGCTTAAAAGCAATGGAGGGGAACCGATTACAGGGATCCACATATAATCCCCGCCCTGGGGGATGGACAACAGAAAAGCAGGTGAATGAGACGCTGGACAGTTTAAGATATGACAAAATAGTAATTTATAAATTATCAGCGGTTCATGAGGGAGGGGATAGCGGAGAGGGAGGGGAAAAATGAGGAGCTGATGCCAGGGGCTTAGGTGGAGAGCAAATGTTTTGAAAATGGTGAGGGTAACGAATGTACAAATGTGCTTTGCACAATTGCTGTATGTATGGATTGTGATAAGAGTTGTATGAGCCCCCCAATAAAGTGATTTTTAAAAAAGCAATGAAGTATTAAATGGCAGAACTAGAAAGCCCCAAGATAAACTCAAAATCATTTCCCATTAAGTCACTGTAAATCGTTCCTGTTTGTAAAGTTGGTAGGTTTTTAAGACCCTGTTAGAAAAGGCTCAACAACAACTTTTGGTAACTTAATTCCAGGAAACTCTTGTTAACCTAAATTCCCAACGTTATCATTTAAACTCAAATGCTCATTGTGTCCTCTTTACAGAAATGGACAGTACTGGATTATGCTCTCTGGAGTAATCTTGGATGTTGAAAATCATTCTACAGACTTCCCTGGGCTAGATATTCTGCACTATTATTATCATTTTCTGTAACAACAGGTAAAATCACTGTGCCTACCAATGACCAGGAAATGCTTTATCTTCCACGGGGGCTTCAAAAAGCTCATGGAAAAATTCCATTATCTTTGAATTCCATTTTTTCATGAACATTTTGAAGTCCCCTTATGTGAATCTATTTTAATGTGCCGTTAAAGTACATGTAAAATGATTCAATGATATAATGCATCTAAGGGTTTCATTGTTTAACCCACACTACACCAATCAACAGATATGACCACTGAGAGTTCAAGGTTGGATTATAACTCTTCCCCGTATTGCACAACCACCTCTGGCTGCGACTGAGGGCACAGTCAAATACTGTTACCATAGGGTACTTCTTAGATTAAGTTATTTTCCTCTTTCGTTTCTTCCCCTTTCTTTCGGGGTGGTTACTGTAATCATTTGAAATTCAATTAGGTTCAAAGTCTTTTTTAAAATTAAAAATTAATAGCAGTATGATTAACACTTAGCAGTATGATTATAATTGAATAATGAGTGTAAAACTTTAAAAAGTTTGTTGACAATTTAATTTGGGGGTCTTTAGCAGTGGGCAGTATAAAACGTACTGTAGCTTTATGACTCAGAAAGTTCTAGTTGCAGGTAAGTAGCACAGGACCAGTCTGTAACATGTCCATCTATGAAGATCAACAGACGGCAGCTGCTCTTAGCTCCTCAATGCCACAGTGCCATTGCAAGATCTGGGTCAGAGAGGTGGCATCTACAGTAGCATGAAACTCCATACCTGGATCTTTCAGCTGCCCTCGTGTTCATATTGTGCTACTTGTCTGACGTGATTGATGGGTTCTATTTGCCAAGTAGTTCCCAAAGAATCATTTTAATATCGTTATCTACTTGAAGTGACCAATACAATCAGACATGAGGTATATATCCCATTAAGTCTCTTTCATAAACTCTAATATAACATGGTTCCTGTAGTTTATTGGCATGGTTGTACACTTGGCTTTGCTATTTGATTAGCCACATACCTGTTCTCCTCTGTAGATGACATACTCGGCATACGCCAGCCCATTCACACTTGGCCTTCCAATAACTGAATGATGTCCTGGAGGGGCATGTGCCATTTTCATGGTACTGAATTGCAAAAAGGATTTTCCCAGGGTCACTCTACAGAAGAGCATTTGTCTAAAGAAAATGGAAAGGAATGCCTTAAGCTTCAAATCTTAGAACAAGTAACTTTAATACAGGATAAGCAAATTTAAATTTCAAGTTCAAATTTATGAGTAAGAATGATTTCATATCTTCATTTATTATTAACACATAGCTTAAAACAAAAGAAAACAAAAACCTAACTCACTGCCATCGAGTCAATGCCGAGTCACAGCAATCCTACAGGGTAGGGCAGTACTACCCTTGGGAGTGCCCAGGACTCATAACTGTTTACAGGAGAATAGTCCTGTCTTCCTCCCACGGAGCTGCTGGTAGTTTTGAACTGCAGACCTTGCGGATTGCAACCCAATGAGTAACCACTCTGCCACCAGGACCCGTAACACACAGCAGCTCAATAGTTAGGGAGTTTAAATCAGTTTGCGTGTGGCGTAAGACTTAATATGGCGTAACATTTTGCCTGGTAGAAAAGGAGGAATACGCTCTTCTCTGGACGAGAGGTCTTGAAGACACGAGGCAGATGGAAACAGCACCTGGGATTAAGACCGCTTTACTCATCATAAGTGAAAAGTAAAAACTAGAATCAGTTTAAAAAGCAATAAAAAAGTCGATCATAAACAAAATTAGCTGAAAAGTATGGGTCAAATTATCCTAGTTGGGTGAAACATGAATTGGGCAAGACGTTAAATACTACAGAGGAAGAAAAAGGTTCAATGTGAAGAAAGTAAAAATGTGTTATAGAAACCAGAGATTAGCAAACTATGGCCTATGGCAAATCCAGGCCACCACCGGTTTCTGTAAATAAAATATTTTTGAAACATAGCCACATATTCATTTATGTATCATGTATATCTGCTGCCAAGCTAAGAAAGCAGTGCTGAGTAGTGACAGGGTATGAATGGCCCATACAACCTAATATGTTTACTATCTGGCCTTTTACAGAAAAAGTTGCCGAATCTCTAATATAAAAATTAAGCACATTCTAACTAATCTTTAAGATTGGTCATACTGTCAAATACTAATAGTAAGATCTTTGTGCTGTGATTTTTCAAAGAGGTTCATTTGAGTCACTACAAATTGTTCTGGTCCTAGCAGCTGTACCTGTACCCACTCGCCACTTATCAACTACCTCACTGACATCTTCCACCTACTATGAAAGAGATGTGAGCAGTGGCAATGGCTGTGGATCTAATCCTTCCTCAAGGAGGGTCTCTTGGAAGCTTAAGTGCCCAGGACCCTCTACCAGCCAGTGATGCACCCATGCAGTTTTGTGCAGGGTACATCTCCTCCAGGGCCACGGTCTCTGGGCAGACTGAGCCAGTGGGCACCAGTTACGGGTTCTGGGCTCCTATGAGATCTAAGGCCCTTCAGTGAAAATTTGCTGTGGTTTGGGGGGAAGAGGAATGAGAGAGGAATGAAAGAAGTTTGGAAGAAATGCATATGGGAGTTTCATGTCACCCCAAAATTTGAGGAATTGGGCCTGAAGCTAATGCCTGAGTGGGACTAAAGGGTATGGGCAGACTCGCAGCACCTTCCCAGGAAGCTCTGGGCTCAGACTGCTGGGCCTGGAAGGCAGAGCCCACTCTGAGACGATACACATAGGGCCTGCAGGGGTGGAGAGGTGGGGAGTAGGGTGGTGGTCGTGAAGTGGTTAAGTCGTGGGCCCCTCCAGTCACACTGCCGGGCTTTATCCAGCTGCGTTGCCGTCAAACCTCTTTCTCCAGAGACGAAAAATCCACGGCTGGACTTGTCACAGGGATGAGCACATCAGTAAAGCTTAGATGATGTTATTTTGAAGATCATATTTTCTAAATGAAAAACCACCGCCTTCCCAAAGATATGATCTAAAAGGAGAAGGAAAAACCCTCCATTTCTACGCAACGACCTGTCTTTGGAACTTAACCATGAGTAAGGAGAGGAGTGGCTCGATTTTGGAATTTGGGTACTTTAAAAAAAACACAAAACTCCGCTATTTTGATGAGCCCTTGAAATGCTTGCTTGGCATCAACTGCATTCTCTAGTGGTAATCTGGGGGAAGGGTTTTGATGCCGTTTAGAGAAAGATTTTCTGAACTCCACCTCCACTGTGGCTGTGCTACTCCGTCCACTCAGCCAGCTGGGCCCCTGCCACAGCAATTCTCAGTCTTCCACATCACTCGAAACATGTCCCAACAGGCCCTTGCTTTCCGACTTCTGCTGCTTTCCCCAGGACTTCCGTGGCAGCAGAAGGCACGGGGCCTGCCCAGCCAGCACTAGAGGATGCCAGGGGCAGGTGCAGAGTAGTGCTGGCTCAGGCCTGCTCACTGGCTGGCCTTGTGCGCTGTGATACATGCTGCAGAGGCTGCAGCCCTCAATGTGGGGTTAATGCTGCCCTGTGGGGAAAATTCTGAGCCATGCAAAATAGGAGAGAGCGGATATATTTGTCTTCTCATTGGTGTACTGTTCATAAAGCCTCACTGAAAACACCCCCCTGGACAGAGTGCACTTGTTATAAAGCTGAGGCCAGTCTATCAACAAGATACCCACTATTTGCTCTGCCTCCTTCACGACCTCACTGGTGTTTGTGACCCCATTCTGCTTCCTTGGGGTTGCATTTGCCAAGCTTTGCTTCAGACTCTGTTTTCAAGGAAACATACGTTTGCATGTCCGATTAAGGAGTGACTATAAATGGTCTTTGAGGTTCACTTTATTGCTACTTAGGTTCACTCTGTCTCCACTAGTGATTAGGGCTAAAGCAAGAAAAAGTAGATGGCATGCTACAAATCCTTGGAAATGTGTGGGGATTTTATGTTAATCACTACAGAGGTTATCTTCTGGATATGTGGCATCCATCTCAGAACTACTGATGGCTACATTTTTAATTTTTAATAAGGTAACCGGCAAAGATAAGCTTTAAGGCCAATACCTATAGATGGAATTTAAGGGTATATCAGTCTCATTAAGGTTTTAACTGAATCACAAGGTACCTTATTAACCTTCTGTGAAAATAATCCACCTGATTAATTTAAGTAGAAACAAAAAGTCCTAATCTTTGTAATGTATAATTATTTGTTTTCAACTTGCAGGGAAGGGAACAGCAGTCCTTTTACTGACTTCACGGATAGTGTGGGGAGCTTCAAAGAGTTTGAAGCAAAATGGAATCCAACGATGGAATTTCTCCACCAACTTTTTGAAGGCGCCCCCCACCCTTTTTATTGAAACGCCTTATACACTATTGCTCTCTCCAATTTATGTAGGATTTAAAAAATTCTATTTAAAAAGCTGGCAATCATTTTTTACTAGTCATTTCAAAGAATGGTATTTGAAGTGAACTTTTCAAATGTTTAAGATGAATTATGTATTCTGCCTTAAAATAAACATCATGAAGAAAGAATCAGAAGTAAATTACAAATTCCTGGTGTTAATTCTGTGCTCTAGTGAAATATGATTAGAGCTAAAGGTCCTTTGTTCGACAAAAACAGTCCTCCAACTTTTTCTTCTTCTGATTCTGACGAAAGAGAAGCCCAGGAAGAAAGCCAAGATGGAATGAATGTTCCTAACGCATGATTGGTTGACATGGGTTTTGCCACTAGTATCAGCTCCGCTGTCATTGCTCCTGTCAGGGTATAGGCTGATCAGGGATGTGGCTTATTTTTATTAGGAAGCAAGATGTTAACTTATGAAGGTCACTGTAACCATTATACTAAAGGCAAGATGCTCACCTGTGACAGATATAACATGACCTATCTTTGTGTGGGGGGCAGCCTGTGCCTCCTCCAATTCCATAAACATACTGGTTGCTTTTCGAGGAGTTTTCAGCAAAATAAATCCCAGCTCCAAACATTCCTCCTATATAGGCATGTCGCTCATCGAACCCTTTATGAATAATGGCATTAATGAAAGGCGAACCTGAAAATATAAATATACGAGTATTAGCTTTTTAAAACTATTCTAGAATCACAATTAGTTGCATAGTATTCTCACTTGGTAGTTTATAAAAAGTTTACAAATTGGCCTATTATACATAAGTTATTATATGTATCAGCAAACTACTGTGTTAGGCAGGTCAGGATGCCACATGAAAATACAGACTATTTTATAACCCATCCTGCTTTAAAGCAAGCACCAATAATCAGATAGACCAAGACAAACAATAAATTACAAAACAGTTTACTATCTAGATAGCTCTACTTGCAATTTAAGCTCTGAAACACTGTGAGACAGATTATTTTTATTAGATATATCCTGGAAAACCTGCAGAATTTTCCCAGGTGCTGTTGTGAGTTTTTATTACCGTATATACTCGAGTATAAGCTGACCCAAATATCAGCCGAGGCACCTAATTTTACCCAAAAAAACCCCTGCATTAAAAATGTGCTGGAAAACTCGGCTTATACACAAGTATATATGGTAAGTGATTTGAGTTATAGTGATCATGTGGGTGCACACTAGAACTGCACCACAGTTTCAGAAGTAGATTGTTGGCCCTGTCTTCCAAGGGGCCTACGGGTGGGTTTTAATTGACACACTTTTGGCTAGTAACTAAGCACTTAAGCATATGTACTACCCAGTTAGCAACATGAAATAACTTGAGGGGGGAAAATCCACACAAGCCATTGTAACACGCGGTCACGCACTAGGTGTTCTACTGCGCTGAAACCTGTGCCAGCGCAGAGATGTCTGGAGTGGCTGCACGGCCGACACTCACCGTGGAACAACATGCGCTCGTTGTGATGGTTATGATTCTCCTCAGACACCTCTTTTTGTCTGTGACAGAACCGCTCCCTCAACTTCTTGTTCACCACTTTCTGAATCTGCGAGGATGGAGCAGAAAGAAGTTAATTGTCAGTGAATGTATGCTAGTTAGCAGTTTATGATTTAGCAGTGAATAAGAAATGTTACCTTTAGATGGTTCAGTTTGTTTTGTTTGATTCCATTTATTTTTGAATTACTAATTTAAAAAGGTTACAGCTGTCATGCCATAACTGTACTTCAGTGAATATTTCCCCTTTGGTGACATGATTTTCCATTACCGTTATAATTTCTACAGCAGACCTGGCACTCGAATTTGTCTTAAGAGTCTATTTAAAAAGATAATTTCTAGGTTCTCCATACTTGGTAATGTTGGGGTGGGGGATGGGTCCTGTAAGTATGTATCTTTTAAGAAGCTTCCAGGTAATTTTGATGTGCTGTGGGTTAGGTATTGGACTGCCTACTCAAAGGCCAGTGGTTCAAACCCACCAGCCACTCTGTAGGACACACGAGCTTATCTGTTTCCTAGAAATCCTACAAAAGGTCACTAGGAGTTGACAATGACGTGATGGTCGTGGGTTTTATTTACTTAAGAGTGTTACACCACTTGACAGCTTTACTCTTCTTTATGATGGCCCTTTTAAAAAGCACATAACATTCATCTATCCCATAGTTTAAACTGAGGACGTAAGGTCAAGGTGTAAGTGTACATTCACTGAGACAGCTGATGCTCGATTAGATAGAGAAATCCAGGTCTTTAATTTTGCAGTTGATTAGACAAGTGAGGGTAGGTTACCCTCTGAATTTAGGGATCATCTGGGACTGTTTCCACACTTATATCACCAACACAGTGGATGAAGCCCCTGCTTAGAGCCTTAGTGCCTCTAGAGTCTATACTCCTAAAGAAGTCTGGTCCTTGCAGAGTCAGAGAGAGTATGGCACATGGCTTGAAAAAAAAAAAAAATTCACTGGGTAGATTTGATTATGATTTCCAGGAAGATTTTCATTCTTGAGTTTTTAAAAACTTACTCGAATAACATTGTATCTGTTGAAGATGCCTCCGGCATTACCACCGTCTCTGTGCTCTCGAATTGTACTCTGCATCTATAGAAAATAAAATAACTACGTTTATGAAAATACTCCAGAATTCTTCTAACGACATCCCTTCCACTGTTTTCAGCATTTCAATTCTATCACATTCTTTTACCGAAACATTTCAGAGTCATAAATAAATAGGGTTTACCACAACTTGACCCACCGGTTTAGTGGGTACCTAAGAATTTCTGATGAGGAATAGTTGCAGATGTAAATATTAAACTTTGTACATTTCCTATTTATGTTTTAAAAGCTTTAAACCTTCTTTTTCTATAAGCACAATAGAGAAATGTATATAAAAAGTACATTAAACCACCTGTTATTATTTCATGTTATTGAGAATGAGAAGACACTGATGGGAACAAATGAAAACTTGTGGACTTGATCAATACATTAGTAGTTGTTCTTGCTAGGTGTCACTGAGTGAGCCACAACCCACAGCAGCCCTCCGCTCAACAGAAGGAAACTCCGCCTGGCCCTGCGCCGTCCTTACAACTGTTCCCAGGCCTGAGCCCAGCGTTGCAGCCAGCCTGTCAATCCATCTCAGTGTGGGCCTGCCTCCCCACTTTACCAAGCATGATAGCCTTCTCCAGGAACTGGTCAGTTGTGGCAATATGTCCCAAGTATGTAAGACAGTCTCCCCCCATCCTTGCCTCTAAGGAGCACTCTGGCTGTTTTTCTTCCAAAACAGATCGGTTTGTTCTTTTAACAGTCCATTCGACTTTCGGTATTGTTCTCTAGCACCACAATTCAAATGCATTGATTCATCTTCGATTTTCCTTATTCATTGTCCAACTTTCCCAGGCATATGAGGCGATGCAAAATATGATGGTTTGGGTCAGGCGCACCTTAGTCCTCAAAGTAACATCCTTGCTTTTCAATACTCTAAAAGGTCTTGTGCAGATTTACCTAATGCAATGCATCTCTAGAGTTCTTGACAGCTGCTTCCAAGAGCACTCATTGTGGATCCAAGCAAGACAAAACCCTTGACAATATCAATCTTTCCTCCATTTATCGTGATGGTACCTATCAGCACAGTTGTGAGGATTTTGGTGTTCTTGACATTGAATTGCGATCCATATTGAAGGCTGCCATCTTGGATATTCATCAGCAAGTGCTCTAATCCCTCCTCACTTTCAGCAAGGAAGGTGGTGCCATGTGCGTATTGCACGTTGTCAATTAGCCTTCCTCCAATCCTGATCCCACAGTCTTCTTCATAGAAGCCAGCTTCTACGATGATTTGCTCAGCACACAGATTGAACAAGTATGGTGAGAAGATACGACCCGAATGCACACCTTTCCTGATTTTACACCACGCGGTGTTCCCTTGTTGTGTTCCCACAACTGCCTCTTAGTGCATGTACAATTTTCTCATGAGCACAATGAAGTGTTCTGGAATTCTCATTCTTCTCAGTTATCTTTATTTTATTATGGATATGAATTTATTTTTATCAGTTGTCTAATATATTACTGACAACCGCCACTTGTTAGACGAATGATAAATATAATGCAGAGAATTTTAAAAAATCATTACATTTTGTCTCTAGGTAGATTATTCCCGTATTTTCTCAATAATTTTTCATTTGAGATCTCAAAGTATATCTATCCTTACCTGGGGGTATGGAAATAATATACGCTTATGTAGAAAAAGGGTCTCTATTCATTCTTCCTCTACTCTCCCAATTATGGCTAATTATTTAAAAAAATCAGAGACCAACTTCTCATGGAATTGACTCACAGAATTAATTCTCTATCTTTGAATTACTTCTTTGAATTTACTCATCATATTTTCGACATTATCATCATCAAAATTTACTAATTTCAAGAAGCATTAGGTAGTAAGATACTAGAAGATATGATGCTTTCTCATAAACCAAATAAGTAAATAAGCATGAGCTAAAATACTACCCTGAGGCAATTTTCTTGAGCTCTCTAATGTGATTTCCTAGCAGGGGAATAATATAGTACAAATCAAAAACAAACGTGGACATATCTTTCTCTGTTTAGTTATGTGCACCATTATGGGTTTACATAGCTTACTAATTGTGATAATGGAATTAGGTGCTTGTTTATTATGAGCAAGACGTAGGGCCAAACCAACAGTAGAGAGGAATTTATATGGCATCTGCCTACCAGGAGAGGTTCATACAAGCAGCCTTATCATGGTGCTTTAAAATGATTATCGGTATTGGGAAAGTTCACAATCATACATGAATATTAGGACTATTTACTCATTAATCATGCTTTACCTTTGTATATAAAGACAGATTAGAAGACATTTGTTATCTGTGAGGCAAGATTCGCATCTCGTATCACTGTTAGGTAGCATTCTAACATGAGTTCCATGAGTTCCAAGAGTCCCTCAAATAGAAATATGGATCTGACCTATCCATTTGAAAAGCTAAGCTTCATATGCAAAAGCAGTGTAGCACAATTCTAACCCAGAGTTGTATTTTAACTTTGGTAGTATTTCACAATGGCTACATGAAACAGAATGAGAGACGGTTAAGTGCACAAGAGAGTAGCTTACTTCTCCTATTAAAACAAAGGCTTAATTAACTATAGATGATTTCAAGAAAAGATAATTTAAAAATCTTGAAGTACTTTACCTCCTCTTCGACTGATTGATATTCTTTATCTTCTGGAGCAAGATCTAGCAAAATAGTTCCCTGATTAACACAGTGAAAAGTCAAATAGGGGTTGGTGCCTGGAGAAAAGAACAAAACCAACACATCACACAAAAGCTAACTATTCTAGCTCTACGCTCAGGAAGACTTTATGGAACATAGTTGCTATGCTGGAGCAAGCCTAAATGAAGTACAACGTGAACCGAATACATAAGGTTATATTTAACTATGTCCATTTGAAAACTAGAGAAGACATGGAAAGGTGTTCGGGTATCAGTTTCTTCCCTTTGTGGAGAATTTTGTGTACAACAAGGCTTGAGAAGTATTTGTTGGCCTGAACTCAATCATGGTCATCTATGAAGCTGTGTCTGATAGAAAAAAGAAACTGGCATTGGAATTACGTAATTCCACAACTGAGACACAAGAATTACCCTCTAAAACCTGTTGAATAGCTTAAGATGGTCACATAAAATCGGTTTCAGAGTATATTATCCTTATTAATTTCAGAGATGAACTACTATACAGTTAAGTAGGTAACACTCAAATTCAAAACCTCTTAAGTTTTAGTTTCATGTCACCTTTGCAATTTCCTTAGTTCTACAGACTGACCCAGTTAAAGTCAATTAACATGGCCCTTTCAGCCAGAAACCCTTCAGAGATATGATCTTGGATTTCCTATACCTGTGGTTACAGTTCCATTTTGGAGGACATTATCTGCTAAGGAAAAGAAACAGGATGAGATAAGACCTGACTTTAATAGCGGGTGTAAACGGGGCCACTCTCTGTTTGGTGGTTACCTTGGTCACCTTTACATGCAATGCGTGTAAATAATGATATGCTACAGCTGAGAGCAGAAATGGTGCTTCTTGAGTGGCGTGGCGTGGGGAAAAGCCTGGCTGATTCAGATGAGTAGGCGTCAGTGCCCACTGGAAACTTCCTGACAGAGACCCCAGGTCATATGTACATAAAAAAATATACAGTCTAAGGGTAGCGAATAGATTATTATATTTGAGTGAAGGGTTATTTGTTAATTTGATTGCGTCATGTAAACTCCCACCAAATGACCTTTCCCAGCACTGGTCTGGTAAGAAGACGGGAAACTGACAAGATGCGCCTGTGAGTAATTGTGAACAGGATTCCCTGCAATGCTATCCTGCTTTGTATAAAATTAGTCCTCTCAATAGCAGGGGTGGCGGGGTAGGGGTGCTCTGGTGTGTATGTGCATGTGCAATCTCATCCACTGGCAAGAGCCAGGAGTGCACTGTGTCCTCTGAACCCAGCATTTGGTTAGCAGCTGCCTGACCTTTGAATTTTGGACTGACCAGCACCCATCACATGTGACATTTCCTCAAACTTTTAAGACTTTCTATGGGAAACTGCAGGGATTTCACAGAACCTAGAAACATGATGGAATATACTCAAGGGCGAAGTGAAGGGAAAATAGAGCAAACCAGTATCTTGGAAGAGTTGGCTCTTGGGGACAACTCCTTGCAACCAGTTTGGTATCCATTCTTACAGGAGAAACGATTACCCCACAGTTCCTTTTCTCTTCCTTTGCTTTCCTACCGTGAACGTGCTTCCAGCACAGTGAAATGATAAGCAGGGAGGCATGCAGAGGAGAATGGTAAGAGCCTTGTGGGAAATATTATGAATATAAAGTGTGTGGGGAGAGTGACACTCAGATTTCTGGATTGAGCCACTGGATGGAGATTGATGCCAACTAAGTGCACGGGCGCTGGGGTTACACTGCTCGAGTTTAAAGGCCAGCCCCGACTCTTAACTTTCACTGCTCGTTCCTGAGCAAGGTGAATAGTTTACCTTGTTGTCCACCTAGCAGTCTTTCCACACCTTTGATTAATTTGTGGCGGTGTCCATATGCATTGATGCCTATTTCTTTTAACTCCTCATGACCCATATCAGCCAACACATCTAGTGTGATCTGAAAGATGAAATTGCATTACTTGTTAAATCTGCAATAGTACCGCAAGTGATAAGAGCTCTCCGATTTGCTTACAAGGGCTATGATTCTCTTTGAATTAAGAAAATTATTTCCTTCATAAACACAAACTCCCGATCTTCTTCATTTTTCAATAATTTCATCAGCTTTTTGCTCACTTGAATTATTCTTTATTTTGTTTTTAGATAATGAAGAATTGAAAAAGGAGAAACAATGCTATATAAATGTAAAATTATTATTGCTACATTTCCCATTTATTTTGGAGCATTTAATGCTACTTGCCTTAAGCTGTAAGAAGAAACCACCGTACTTAACAACAAGAAAGCTCAGTGCCAGGAGGCAGTAGAGATGAAAGGGAAAGGCAAGTGAGAGGTACTTAACACCATGAAGAAGAATGAGTAAAAGGGATAGTTTCAGGCAAGCAGAAGAGCTTCTGGGTAATAAGCAATATTCACAGCAGTGTGATTTCAGTTAGATTACAGACTATTTCAGAGAAACGATATTAAAAATTCAAATTTGGGGAAGAAAAATGAATCATTTTTAAACGATGTAATAATTCTCAAATTTTACAATCACTGTTGCCTAACATACACCCTACTTTTGCACAAAATTTAATTCTTGTTTATTCATGCCTGGAAATGAGATGATTCGTTTGCTGCCACTGACTCAAAATTATCTTCCAAGGACTAATGTGCCTGGGACTCTACCACCACCCAGTGGCAGAGTTCTGAACATGGAATTCTCTGGCCCAGAGCTGGTCAGAAATCTGAACACCAGAGTCCTTAAGGTTCACCTTTCATTTCTCTCTCCAACTCAAACTAAGTATTTTGCTCTACCTCTATACTTGCATATAACATTAAAAAAACTCAGAGCGCAGACTTTTATTTTATGAAGTATCATACAATAAGTCTGATCCTCTCAGTGTAAGAATCCAATCATCACTCACTCTTTGGAAATAATTTACTATATTACTTCTAAGTTGTCATTTAAGAAATAATTGCTCCATTACACAAAACGGGTAATTCATGCCCAATCACCGAAGGAAGTGTTTAGCAGCACTTTAAGAAAAGAACAATTCTAAAATGCGCCTCTTCGCCACAGAATTACTTGCACAATGGCAGACACCTTTACATTTTCAGCTGGAGCAAAGACTCCAAGAAGTAGGGTTCATGCTGACAGTGAAAAAGGATTTGAAGTGCCAGCTGATGACAATCCGAATGTGCAGCTTTCAGTATGGAATGAAACTCAATGTAAAAAAGCCCAAATCCTCACCACTAGAACAGAAGACAACAAATTCAGAAAAAGAGAAAAGATTGAAGTTGTTAAGGAGTTAATTTTACTTGCATCTCCTGGAGCCCTTGTGGTGTTGGGGGTACAAATTGGGCTGCTAACCGTATGGTCAGCAGTTCGAATCTACCAGCCAGCCCCTCGGGAGAAAGACACGGCTTTCTACTCCGGTAAAGAGTTACAGTTTCAGAAACCCACAGGGGCATTTCTATCCTGTCCTATGCGGTCGTTGTTGTTCACACAGACTCGCTGGCAGTGAGTTTGGTTTTCGTACCTACTTGTATAGATAACAATGCTCAAGGAAGCAGGAGCCAAGAAATCAAAGATGTATTGCATCAGACAAATCTGTAGAAGACGGCGTTTAAGCGTTGAAGAGCGCTTTAAATACAGCACTTTGTGGACAAGGGCATGCTTGATTCAAGCCATGCTAGTTTCAATGGTCATCAAATTAGATAATCTGGGTGGGTCTTAAGTCACTGTGTGTACTTCCTCATATGAAACACAGCGGAGAAGGCCGTGTAAACAAGGAACCCTAAACTAGGGCGAGGTGGCCACAAACTAAGGAAGCGGCGACACCAGAAACTGAAGACACAGACTCGTGTAGCAATCACTGTGTGTGAGGCTTGCGGACCTCCAGAACTTGTGAGAGAGTAAATCTCTAAGGCACCAAATCTTGTGGCAATTTGTTATGCAGCCCAAGGAAACTAACACATATGCAGAATACAGATTTGCCATTCTATGCAAATAGGGTTAATCAGACAGAAGCATTTCTACAGCAACTTTGTGAGTGTGTATGAGGGCGGGTGTTTAAGAACAGTAGATTTTGACACATTATAAATTAAAATAATATGAAGGTCTCTAAAGACCTTTCCCAGACTAAATTTGTATGTATATTAATGACAGCCCATTTAAATCAAAGAACTTATTATCATTCAATATTGGCATGCTAGCCACGATAATAAAGCCAGACAGTAATAAGTTAAAAAAGTATTGCCCTGTATTAAAAAAAGGGCAAGCATAAGATCCTAATTCACAGATGTCCTACGAATGAATTTATACTCAAACTTTAAGATGTAGCCCAAAATAGGTCTATTTGAGTATAAGGTCAAAATTTGTTTGTTTATTTTATTTAGTATTTTTTTTATCACCGTATTTTTAAAAATCATTTTATTGGGGCTCATACAATTTCATCACAATACATAGATCAATTGTGTAAAGCACACATACATTTGTTGTCCTCATCATTCTCAAAATTCGCTTTCCTCTTGGGTTCCTAGAATTAGCTCATTTTTCTTTTTTCCCGCCCCCCTCCCTTCCCGCTCCTCCATCCCTCATGAACCCGTAATAATTTATAAATTATTATTATATCTTATCTTACACTGTCCGGTGTCTCCCTTCACCCACCCTTCTGTTGCCCATCCCCCAGAGAGGAGGTTATATGTAGATCCTTGTGATCAATTCCCCCTTTCTACCCACCCCTTCCCCTCCCAGTATCGCCACTGTCACCACTGGTCCTGAGGAGTTCATCTGTCCTAGATTCCCCGCGTTTCCAGTTCCCATCTGTACCGCTGTGCATCCTCTGGTCTAACCAGGTTTGAAAGGTAGAATTGGGGTCATGGTAGTTGGGGGGAAGAAGCATTTAAGAACTAGAGGAAGGTTGTGGGTTTCATTATTGCTAGACTGAACCCTAAGTAACTCATCTCCTCCCCACTACCCTTCTGCAAGGTATGTCCAGTTGTCTACAGATGGGCATTGGGTCCCCATCATGCGCCACCCTCATTCACAATATGACACCCCCCACTCCACCCACCCCCGCCTTTGGTGTTTGAAGCCTGGTCCCTTCAGTCCTTCATGATCACACATGTTGGTGTGCTGCTTCCATGTGGGATTTGTTGCTTCTGGGCCAGATGGCCGCTTGTTTACTTTCAAGCCTTTAAGTCCCCAGACGCTATAGGTCTCGATAGCCGGGCACCATCAGCCTTCTTTGCCACACTTACTTATGCACACATTCGTCTTCAGCGTTTATGTGGGGAAGGTGGTCACACAATGATGGTTTTTGTTCTTTGGGGTCTGCCACCTGATCCCTTCAACACCTCGTGTTCACACAGGCTTGTGTGCTTCTTCTCTGTGGGCTTTGTTGTTTCTGAGCTAGATGGCCGCTTGTTTGCCTACAAGCCTTTAAGACCCCAGACGCTATATCTTTTGATAGCCAGGCACCATCAGCTTTCTTCAACACATTTGCTTATGCACATGTCTGTCTTCAGCGATCATGTCGGGAAGGTAGGTATCATGAAATGACCGTTTAGCTAAGCAAGGTGCTCTTGTATTAAGGGAATGCGCATGAGGAGGCCCAATGTCCACCTGCCACCCTATTACTAAACCTATAAATATTTGCACCTAGGTCCATTTCCCCCATAATCTTAAATATATTTACATATGTACATGTCTCTATTTAGGCTTTTTCTGGTTAAACATTATTTTATACTAAAACTAGACAACAGAAATTTAATAAAGGGACACTTTTTAAAAGGTATAACAGAAAAGTGGGTGAACGGAGACGTCGGACAGGGCAAGATATGACAAAATAACAATTTATAAACTATTAACCCCTCATAAGGGAGTGGGGAGAGGGGAAAAATGAGGACCTAACGCCGGGGGTTAAGTGGTGAGAAAATGTTTTGAGAATGATGAGGGCAATGAATGTACAAATGCGCTTTACACAATTGATGTGTGTATGGATTGTGATAAGAGTTGTATGAGTCCCTAATAAAATGATTTTTTTTAAAGGTATAATTATCTAAGTATTACTTTGCTTTCCAACTTAATTTCTTCATGAAATTTTTGTAAAGTAGTAACTATAAAAATTTCTCATTGATTTTAAGTGATAGAATGACATGCATAAATGGCAACACTTTCTTGAAACATAACCAAATAAGGTGGTTTTCTGGTATATGGTTTTAAGTTTAAAAACCTATAGAGTAAGAATACTTCTTACACAGAAAAAAAAAGATATCTATGTGTAAGACATGTGTAAGAAGTATAAGATATTAAGTCCACTCATTTATAAATTGTGAAGGGTTTCAAATGGCTGTTAAGAAACAAAAAGAAACGTGGCAATTAGTAATTTATAATATTTAATTTAAAAGACTTAAATACATACAAAGAGTTTACCTGTTCAGTTTCAAAGATATCCCGAAGGTGTTCAAGGCCAAGACTTTTTAAGAATTGACTGATATTCATGTCAAGACCTACAACTAAAACAGAAAATATTTAAGTTTCTCAGGAAGAATTTGATTGAACTCAAGAACGTTGCAGTATCTATTTAAAGGCATGGCTCTCTGAAACCTTTGAGTATGTAAATGATTTTACACAGCATAAAATAATCCAGAATATATTTAAATACCTCAAGGTAAATCTGAGTTTGGTGGAGGAATTAAATGTCAGATAACTTGACAAGCTTCTATGATAATTAAGAACCTTCACTGAATAGATAGGATGCTTTTAAGTGAGGTATTAAGTCCTGACCAAAAAAAGGTGAATTTATTTCATTAAAACGTATATATAAGGGGTAAAATTAAAAATATATAGATATAAAATCATAGAAACCTCTATTAAACAGCAATATCAAATGTAAACCTATTGTTTCTTGACATACCCACCATCAAGGTTCACACGTTTATAAAGACAGTGTTTCCATCTCTGTCTCATAATTCTATGCTCTTCAATTTACACCATGCCCAAATAGCACCCTTGGCGACTCATCAAATCATGTTCCTTGACATATCCTTTGAGTTTTGGGAACAAAAAGAAGTCTGAAGGGGCAAGGCTGTGGGATACAGGGTGAATAGGATAAGGTTTCCCAATGACATCCTTACAGGACAGCCCTGGCTGTGTCTCAGCACAACTCGCCATAGCATTTTCTCATCAATACAGTCTTCAATTTTCTTAAAATTCCTTCCTAAAAAGACTCTATGATCTTCCTGTGTCCTTCAAGAAAATTGATCAAGACTGCCACTTTGGCATCCCAAAAGGCAGTTGGTCACCACACCTTCTGAGCTGACCTTTCTGCCTTGAATTGCTGTGGTCCAGCAGATTCCTTGAGAATTCATCATTTTGATTGTAAAGCCACCCACCCTTCTTTTTTTTAAGACACCCTAATGAGACTAAGACAAATATATTACTGAATGAACTTGTCTGCAGCCATCCATCAATGGCAGAGACAAGTTTAAACAAGTATTGTTTGGGATAAACTCATGTATGTATGTATAACCTGGAATCTTAGTAGCAATACTTTTTGACATAGTTGTATACAAACATACATACAAAGTTTCACAGGGTACACTTACCTTCTCCTTCCTTCCTTTCTGCACCTGCTGCACCATCCCCTGTGTTGGATGCTCCTCCTACTGCTAATTCCGCTAAAGGACCAGTAAGGTTATCTATACTGCTAGCAGCAGAGAGGCAGGAGGGGGTGGATGCTGGTGAGATCAGAGAGGCACTCACTACAGTAGCCTGAGGTTTAAAACAGGTAGGTAAGGCCTCTGGAGGCATGGCATCTATCAGCAAAGCTCTAATATCGTCAGCCTAAAACAAACAAACACATTTGTTAAAAGTTAAGTTTTCCATTAAGGCTCATATACTTCGTACATGTTTTAATTATGAGTGCCTGTTATTCCATATTGATCTACTTGTTCAATTCATAGCTCCCAGGAGTCTGAATCATTTCAGAAGGTAGACCTGGAGAAACTAAACTCATTTTTTCACTATTTCGTGATAACAATAACAAGTTTCAGAAAGTTGATTCTCACTCTTTAGCAGGTATTCCCACATCATTATATGCTTTGTTTATATTTTAAAAATTGTATTGGAGTTTGTTCAGTAATTTCATGCACATTTAATACTTTAATGTGCAATTAAAATCTGGCGAAGTTTTACGTGTATGGCACTTTACTTTGACTAGTGTATTCATTAACTTTACAGCATATAAGTACTGGGAGTAACTGCAAGTACAGTGCGTGGGAGAACCCAGCAATTCCTTTGTTTCTCAACACGCATGCCACTCTTCCCATTAGAAGGGGGCATGGGTTTGTCCTGCCTTGAATCTGGGTTGCCCTGGAGTGGCTTGGACCACCAAATGTATTGGAAGTGATCTTCCAAGGCTTTTGAGCCAGGCATTGCCAAGTGAGGGCGGGTAGCTCCGACTGTCTCCCTTTGTAGCCTCACCGTAGTATAAAGAAGCTGGGGCTAGATTAGAGTGATTAGAAAGGCCCCGCAGGAAGTTCATAGCTTTTCCGCCTAAGCTGAGCTCCCACTTACAGGCAGCTGCACAAAGAGTAGAACTCCCTATTGGAACTCAAGTCAGCCTACAGATTATAAGAAATAACTGTTTTATGATTTAGGGATGGTTTGCTGTGCTGTAGTACAGAAGTAAAATAAAAACCCGTGCTGAAAGTGAGCTGCTGCTATAACAAACAATGTGTTTGTTACAAGAAATGTGTCTTTGGCTAGGTGCGTACCGGGTGGCACGGTGACCACTGAGGGTGGAGACTGGAAGGCAACTGCTACAGAGGCTAGAGGAAGGGGAACCTACTGGTGTCAAAGGTGTGGCAGCACCGTCACCTGTAGGATCAAGGAAAAAGAAAATGTACTGACTGCCTTTGTAGATTTGGAAGAATGTTGTTAAATGTGTCACTGGCTTGCTTTATCTGCCCATAACAACATATAGAAAGAGAAAAATGAATTAAGAGGTTGTTCAGTTCCTTTTGAGAAAATACTGTCTCCCAAGACTTGCTAATTTGGAAAATAAAATAATAATTATCCTTATTTATCTTTCCCAAACTCTCTACTAGCAAATGTTTCTAAAAACAACCAAGAGCGTCGGGGTCAAGACCCAATCGAGGGTGCTGCCAGTAAACATGGCTTCCAAAACGCTTCACAAGATCTTGAAGGGGATGGGCTTGTGAACTTTCTCTGCTAGATGGGTGTGCTTTTAAGAATTTCAGGGCATTGTTCCACAGCATCTGCTTTCCAATCCAATGGCGAGAAGGACCTGTCTCTAAGAGACTTGTCTTGTGGCTTCGTGAGATGGAAGCATATGTAACTTGACACATGGGACACCCCTTTTGTACAAAGCAGTTTGGACTAAAAAGGATAGACGTCAATCAAAATGAAAACAGGTCTCAGAATTTCCAGATTTTTAGACGGGACGCAGGCTCAAAATCTTGCCCATCAATTTGGGCCATTGCTTATGGAAAGAGAAAGGTGGCACAGAGTGAAGAAAAACATCCAGAAAGCCAAACCGCTTACTCAAAGACCATCCCTGACTCCCAAACACGACAGCCTTGGGGAGGGCTTTGATTTTGGAATTGCTATGGCTCAGCGCTAGCTATCTCCATCTCAGTACTTGTCCTGTTGAAACGGCCTACGGTGGTTTTCCTGAACCTGTCTCAGCACTGTTGTTCTCTCTCTCTTTGTAGATAGCTTGTCTTTCAGTGACAGGATTTCTCATTGAGAGGAGCGACATTTGAGTAACTCCAACTGAAGAACTGCAACAAGGTACCTCCATCTCCATCTAGTGTTCAGGCAGATGCTGGACTTTGAACCTGACGCTGTAAACGGATTAATTTGGGATCTTGGGAAGGAGAGGCCAATGTGTTTTGAATGAAAGCAATTTGTTTAACAGAGGGTGAACTGTGTTAAAGACAGATGGCCATGAAATCTTTTTTTTTTTTTTTTAATTTCAAACACAGATCTTAACTCTAGGTTGACCGGGTGACTTATTTAGCCACCGGGCTCTGCTGAGAATGCTGGCATGCTAGTTCGAGGCTCAGCTCAATGGCCCCAACCAGGGAACTCCATTCCAGCAGGATTCCTTAAAGATGAGCCACCACGTGGGGATACAATGTGGCATCCGACCCTTCTAGCTATCTCTGCAAAGGTTCCAAGGAGAAAGCTACCTTGGCTGTTCCTGCCCTGCTCCCATGGCATGCCACTAGTTGAGTACAACTACGTGGGTAGAACCAGTCTAAGGAATTATTAAACAATGTACAGGATTATGAGAAATAACGAATCATTATTATTTTAAGCCTAAGTGTTTTTAAATAGTTATTGAGCAATAGATGAATCAAAGAAACTTAGAAAAAAATGTATTTATAACTTAAAAATTACTGTGACTTTTTTTTAGATTTTTAGAACGTTCAAGAAAGATGGTGCCATATCTAATTATCCAGTAAAGCAACATGTAATCACAATGATTCTATAATCAATCGACTTTTTCTTCCTAACAAAAATAAAAGGAGCCCTTATGCTGAGACACTGTATATTAAGCATTGAGTTAATTTTTGCAAGAGTTAAAATTTCAAGATCAGCAATTTAAACCTACCAGCCACTCTCCAGAAGAGGAGTAGGCTTCTGTAAAGATGCAGTCGTGGAAACCCTGAGAGTTGCTATGTATGAGTTGGAATCAACTCAAAGCCAGTGGATTTGGTTTTGAATTTTAAAGAAAACAGTCCCCAGAAGTGACTCTCTCTCGGACTAACTCATGCTATTATGAACCAGTGACTCCATGTACGCAGAGCGGAACGACTCCAAAGTTGTCAGGCTGTGCCCTTTCAGGAGCACACTGCCAGGCCTGTTCTCCAAGGCACCTCTGGGTGGGTTCAAACTGCCAATCTTTCAGTTTGTAGTCAAGCACCTAATTGTCTGTACCATAATCTTATAGGCACAGGCCAATGATTATGAACATCAGCAGTTGTGCTTAGATTCAATAGAAATAATATTTTATTAAATATACACAAGATACTCTAGTATGTGTCTGATTCATATTTTCAACAGTCGTGTACCACAAAATGAAGTGAGCCTACTAAGTCTGCCTTCATAGCATTTTAAATTACAGTTTAGAATATCTAATTGAACAGTGACCTTAACATTTTTCAAAAGGAAAGCAATTTTTATTTAGGTGAATAACACGCTACTGAAGATGAATCTGTTAATTCCAAGACTTTAGGGTCATCTTTAACAGGGCCATCAATAATATTGAGCACTTTGAAATGAGGACTTACTGTTGCCAGATCTAAAGGTGTTTGACCTTCCTGGTTTTTCATAGTTGGATCGGCCCCATGTGCGAGGAGTAGGGCACATAACTGTGTCCTTCCCTTTTGGGCTGCTTCGTGAAGAGGTGTAAAGGCCCACTTATCGGTGGCATTTACACACGTGTTGTATTTTATCAGTAATGCTGCTATGTCCACATGCTGAAGGAAAACAAAAGGGTGAAATCTGGTAAGAAGGAGATCTTCTGAAAAGCCTACTATGTGTCCTTGCTTTTACTGAACGTTTCACTATGTGGTCTCATCACTTAGAAGTTTCTTTTACAAAAATAAAAAATCTTTCTCGCTTTGTTTTGATTTCCATCTTGTTTTTGCCACCTCTAAAATCTAAATTCCAGGATTATTCTTTAAGCCTGTAATTTTTCATGTTAAAAAACAAACCTTTAATTCAGCCTTCTAACATACTTTAAAAGTATCTATTTAACCATTTCAAAAGTAACGTCAGTAAGATGAAACTAGTACACGATCTCCACCTTATGTCAATGGTCTAATTTGTCTACCCAACTTCAAATGAGCATTTTATACCCACGCGATCTCTTCCTCCCAACTTTCTTGTAACTCACTACAATCTGATTTCACCTCCTCCATTTACAGAAGTACTTCCTCAGAGACTCTCATTCTTCGCATATCCCAAAGAGGCTGCTATATCTAAAATGATTTAGGGGTGGGGGAAATACCAGCAGCAGACACACAAGCTAATAATCTGAATATAAGATGATGACATTCTGAATTATGATGCTTATTGAAGAAAGGAAAGGAAGAGCTAAAGTCGAAAAATCTTGAAGAAAAAGAATATTGGGTTTAGGAGGCAAATTAACTACAGAGGAAGAAATATAATCAATGATTAATTTTTGTTCCCTTCCCTCTGGTTTAAAAGCGGAAAAGAAAGGTATAACCACTAGCAACCGAGTAGTGAAAATGTAGGTGACAGTCAAAAGTGGAAGCAGCTGAGGTATTTGAATTGTTGCTTTGAAGTGATGCTATATCAGAGCTATGCTTCTCGGTGAGCAGCTGACACCGAGAGCTGGAGCACAGACCATGGGGCATCATGTATTCACTCATGTATGCATCCTACCTATTCACGCACCAACCACACGTTTCCTGGAAGACTCCTAAGAGCATGGCACCCGGGGGAGAGAAGCCAGGAGGGATTAGAATAAAAAATAGAATAACGGGCTAATAGTTGTAGCTATGTGATAAATGCAGTTATTAGGGAAAGGGGGCAAAAGACCACACTGGCACTGAATGAATTCTTCCTACTCACAGTGACACTATATAGGGTTTCCTGCACTCTTTGGGGACAGTCATCCTTCTACGGAGGGGCTGGTAGGTTTGACTGAACTGTCCAACAGTTACCTGAAGCAGTGAAGTACAGAGAGTTAAGTTCAATGTTTTAGGGCAGGAGAGGGAAAGAAGAGCTCTCAGAGGGGACAAAAGGGGCAGTGAGAACCGTCGAAGAACTATAAAGAGACAGGAATTTGGAAGCCCGTGTAGGATAAAGTTCAAAAGAGAACAAGTTCTCTCATATAACACAATAAAGCTACATAGCGAATGCTTTCTGCTTCTTCCCAAAAGTTCTCATTAACAGAAGCTAAAGACAATCACACAGAGGCAATGATGATCAACAATAAAGCTGTTAAAAGATATTTTTTAAAAGTATGTTATTTTGATAAACACGTTTAATGGTGTTAGATGAGTGACCACTGAAGTATTTCTGAAGCCTGCTTCAACTCCGTATGCTCCTGTTTTGTAACGGGCACACTGGAGTCCTTCGTGGATCCCTCTCCTACCAGAATTTGGCCGTTTCTGATCGCTAACTGTGAAGCATCTTATTCGTGAGAATATACTTTTAATTCAAGCAGTTATTCCACTACGATGAATGGAGTTTAAAATCTGACTTTTCTGAGAACGGGAAGAGGTGAAAAGGAAAAGGATGGTGAAAACCAAGATCCCAAGATGAGTTTAACAGAAACTGAAACTCACTGCCACCAATTCAATTCTAACGTGTAGCTGCCCGATGGGATGAGTAGAACGGCTCCCATGGGTTTCTGAGACTAACTCTTTAGGGGAATAGAGGCTCACTTTATGTCCAGGGAGTGACTGGTGGGTTTGTGGTTAGCAGCCATAAGTGTAATCCACTATGCTGACTTAATGGCACCTAATAACAGCAACAAAAAATTACACGTACTCTATATACCCGAGTATAAGCCGACCCGAATATCAGCCAAGGCACCTACTTTAACAAAAACGGCATTAAAAATGTGCTGAAGAACTCGGCTTATACACAAATATATATGGTATATGTATGCATATGTATATTATATGAGGGGTACCCCTCCCCCCCAAATGAAAAAAAGCTTCGCTGGGCGGAGCTCATTTTTCCCTCCAGATGAACATCCTAGTAACTTGCTGAGTTAGTGCACCCAGTGGTGTCACTTGGGAAGGTTCTCTCAGGTCACAGTGAACTTTTTCGTAAAAGCAGTTTCACTAGAACCTGGTTTTCTTGTGATGGTTGATTTAAGAGAACAGTGTGTGGCTATGAAATTTTGTTTCCTGCTCAGGAAAATGCCACAGACACTGTTGAACACAGTTACAAGGACAGAGCTATGGGAAAAACTCCAGTGTACGAATGGTTTTCTCATTTCAAAAAAGGTGAAATATCGATTGATGACAAACCTCATTCTGGCCGTCTGTCCCTTCCCTAATGGAGGAAAATGTTGACTTGTAGTGCATTTGGAGTTCAATCCACCAGGTCAATCAAGCTTTCCATTGAGAGGTTCTGAAAAGACTGTGTTAACAGTGGGACAAAAAGGCCTAATGCTTTGCGACCACAACAACGCATCTATCTACGTAAAGGAGAATGCTTTGAGGGTGATGAGGCTGCTTTGTAAAGAACATCTAAATACTGGGCTTTGAGAGGGGTGGGGGCGGGGGAGTTTCGGGGTAATTGGGGACCACCTCGTGTGTGTATGCATATGCATATCCATAGGTATATGATAAACTGTATATATGTCTCATATGCATTACATGCTTGTTATATGTGCTGATAAACATCTAAATGAACAAATATTCAGAAAGGAGGATATTAAAGTGCCATAAAGTCAGATCCAACCCACAGAGAACTAATGCATAGCACAAGGAAACACTGCCAGGTCCTGTGCCGTCCTCACAATGGTCCCTACCCTGGGGCCCACGGTTATAGCCACTGTGTAACCAACCGCCTGAGGGCTTTCCTTTCTCACTGCCCATCTACTTTACCACACATGATGTCCTCTTGGACAGAGACGTTATATATGCAAATACATAACAATATACACGAGGAGTACAGAACTACTCACAATTCTTCAGAACACAATTTGTAAGTCTTTTAAAGAACACTACACCCCTGGTGCAAAAATAGTAAGTGGAATTTATGGGTGACAAATGCATACAATAAGTTGCAGCTTTGTTCTACACAAGATATAAAAGTAAATTATCAAGGCAGAAGTTCTAGAAAAGGAACTAAACTGTTGAAATGTTTCCAGGAGAAAATGCCAGTGTAATATTGTTTCAGAATCCAGTTGCAACAGAAAACAATTTAAAAGACAAATACAATATAAATGATTAGGAAGGGCCTAATCATTTAGTGTAGCAAGGGAGGAAAGTGTAAGTGTGTGTGTGTGTGTGTGTGTGATGTGGTTGGGCAATAGAATCATCTGCCTGTAGACAGACAGGGCTTATTACAAGGATGACAGGAAATCCTCAAATGCAAGAAGGGCTTCAAAATCCTGTGAGAAATAGAATCAAAAGATAGCAGAATTTTTACACGAACTTTTTAAAGGCCCCTCATATATGTGAGAGAAATCACTTAAAAAATGCATTCATTGAGATATAAATCTGAATAGCCATTGATTTACTTGTATGGGAAATCAAAAATGTACACGCTTTATGATAAATACATATCACTTGTATTTATGGAGTAACAAATGTGAAATACAATGTTAACTTTTACCTAAGTTTCTTAAATAATGAATGTCTCTTCATTACTGACTTGGTGGAAAGCCCTTTTGTTGAAATGATGTTTGCACAGCCCAGAGATACCCAGGAGGAAAACTTAGCAAAGCAATCTGGGATGTGGGGAGGGGAGTGTGTAGGGTTGGCAGTGTGGGAAGAGAGTGAATGATGCACCCAAGAATAATCAACTGCTTAAGTAGAGAACTTTTGTAATTTCAGAGATATTATTTTATTTGTAGACTAGTAGTCATCATGTTCTATTAAGTCTTCATATTGTAAGTATTTATACTAATATACTGCTGGTGAAACAGGTAGGTTATTTCTAAGGTTGTAAGAGTGACTTGCAGCACTTAACATGACGGACTCAGCCTCTGTGTGGCCTGTGGGAGGCAGTTACTTAGTAATAATAGTAGTGGGAATTTTCTTGCATTCTTACAGTGCCCGTAGGTTTAGAAAGCACTTTGCATGAGCAATGTCTCACTGAATCACTGTAATCAACCTGTAAAGAAGGTCTTAGCAGCCACGTTTTTCAAATGAGAAAACTGAAGATTACCAAGGTCAAGCTACTTGCAACATGTTACTGAGTAACTGAGTAGAAAGGTAAAATCTAGAGCCCAGAGGTTCCCATTTTAAGTTCAAGTCTTTGCATCACGTCACAGATGCCTGCATGATCTTGCTAGACACAAGAGTCATTGTCTTGGTTAGTTAAAAGTGGTAGAGGGATGTCAGGGAATAGCCATTTAAGTAAGGATTACTGGATAACACTCTTCCTAAAGTATAAATAGCTTTACTTGTTAGCAAAGAAGCCTCTATTGTAGATGAAGTATCACAAAAATCTATCCTACAAAGCGATTCTCTGAGGTCAAGGGTAATATACACATGCTGCCATCAGACCAGGGACAGGATCACTGTGATGAATTTAATATAATCAACAGCTTGTCACTCCGATGGAGAAATATGTGCCAGAGTACCACAATTTCATTAAAATATCCAGCCATGGCATAAGTCTAGTATGTGGAAAAACATGTAGTCTCATGGCTAACATATATGTGGTTTAGTCCCTTCATTGAGATTGAGATAAATATGATTCGATTCAGTAATTGATAATAGATCATATGGTCTACAAATTATATTATGTGAAATTATTTTGTAGACCAGAGCTTCTCAAGGAAGAGGCTAATCTTACCAATTCCCAGCTGAGAACCACTGTGTGTCATGAATGCTTGTACTGAGGTGAGGAGGCTGTGTATGTGAAAGCGTGGAAACAGAAGCAGAAAAAGGTCAAGATGCTGCCAAAGTAAAAGTTTCTGTAAATAACAGTACATAGTAATTAACTTACAGCTAAGAGTTTTAGAAATGATACACTTAATAAATGAAGGATTTTTAGAGTGACTCAAACAATCCACCCACACAATGAAGTAAAAATACCTGCTACCAACACATTACCTCGCTCATTTGCATTCTTCAACAGACAGACGGTACGAACCAGACTGAGCAAAATCTCTAACAAATATGCCATCTAACTGCCGGTTTACTCGCACTTCAGTAACATACCTTCAACTACAAAAAGCTAGGCAGTGGGATTTGAGAATGAGCAGAATAATATGAAAAGGAGATAGTAAAACAAATGTTCATTCTTTCTGCCACTTGGAGTAGAGCAGGGGCCAAGGTCAGTGGTGTAGTAAATTTACCAAAACGAACTAGTGGCTTTCTGCTCAGGAGACTGACTGGATCATACCACCTATTTAGTTAATGGGACAGTAGCATGGAGGGAATAAGGAATACAACAAGCATATTATATTACTATTTAGTCACAAGAGAACCACTTGCGACTATTGCCCCCACACTGGTTACCAAATGGCACAGAGAATAGTAAGTAACATCAACACTTCTCCAAGCAGAATAATTGAGATTAGAAAATAAAAATTGTATACATTAATTTTTGCTTTATCCTCTAACAGCACTATGAAGATTATAAAAGGAAAAGACTACCTTGACCGGACTTTTCTACATCCACAGTGCCTGGGCTATGTTAAATAAACACACAGTTCCATCTCGTACATAGAGTAGACAGGACAACACAAGCTTCATTAGATAGGTCAAGAAATGTAATTCAACTGGTGACAGAGACTTCTACTCATTAGATTTAAACAGAAAGTAAAAGACTGATTTAAATTCTTCTGTTCTTAGCAGGCTTTATCAAATCCTCACTGAAGCTTCACCAAAAAGATGAAGTGGAATACAATATGGAAAGAAAGATCGTGATAAGAAGTACTGAAAATTAATCCCTAAGTGGTACATGCATGTATACCAGATTAACAGCAAATATTTCAGCAAATTCTTAGAAGGATCATGCTTCAGTAGAAATATTTGCTGTACAGTGAAACTGAGATTCTTACAGAAAGAGAGGCCAAGAGAAAACTCGCACAATTTTAATAATTACTCATTCATTTTTGAAAGAACTTTTTGTGTATGGCAGCTTGCAAAAAGAAGTCATTGCCATCGAGTCAAGGCCGACTCAGATAACCTACAGGACAGGGCAGAACTAACCTGATGGGTTTCGGGACTGACCGTAAGCATTTAGGGGAGTAGAAAACCCCGTTTTTCTCTCGCAGAGCAGCTGGTGGCTTCAAACCACTGACCCTGCCAAATCGGAACCACTATGCCACCAACCCTCTTAAAAAAGCTTTCATTACTAATATGTTTATTAAGTATAATGACTTTTAATTAAGGTGTATCACACTTGGAAGTATACTCTGTTTTCATGTTTGTCCAACTCAAAGCAGTGTTATTTCTTCTCTTTTAAAAAGCGTATTCCTGCTCAAATTTGTCCTCTCCCTGAAAGCCTGGTCTTACAGAGGGGCTGGAGCAGATGAGGATATTCTCACTATAAAGACCATGGGAAAAGATAGCACAAATAGAGAATTGTGATATCCAGGTGAAGTTTCACTTTTATTTATAGTTTGTCAGTCTTTTGCAAATCTAGAAACTGTCTTCAACAGTGAGACCAAAGGTGAGCATGCCTGGCATATACAATCTGGCATCTGTGGGATTTCACAGTTAAATAACGATTACATCGATGGGCAACCACATGCACATGTATTTTATTTCTACTGCAGTGATTCATCAAGCTGATGACTGACATGCTGCTTTGAAAGAAACTCTGGGCTTTCACTGTGGGGTCTTAGCAAGTCCATCTTGATAAAATCATATATATTGATAGTTGACTCACGCATCTTTAAGATGTCAGCGATAAACCCAAGAAACCCCAATTTCTATACTTCAAAGAGAATTTCTTGGCTTTTATAGTTCGTAAAGTCTACTTGAAATCTATTAAGAATTATTCTATCAACGAATATTAACTGAATACCCATTACCTACCTATTATTGTGCTAGACACCATGAAGAGACAAAAAGGTAAAAAAGTGGATTCTTGGCCAAAAGATATATATGCTAAATGGAAGGCAAGATAAAACTCTCAACAAAAGATTAAAATGATGATAAGTAACACTACTGGCTAGACATCTACTCACTACACATGTAGTATGAAAGGGTACCCACCCCCAAAAAAAAAACTGGAAAAAAGCTCCACCGGGAGGAGCTTTCTTAATACACACCCCCCCCACCCCCCCATCCCCGCTAGAGGAACATCCAGCAACTCATTCTGAGTTAGTGCACCCAGTGGCGTCGCCTAGGAAGGTTGTCTCTGGTCAGTTATTATTTTGTAAAAGCAGTTTTCCTTAAACCTCATTTTTTGTAATGGCTGATTTAATAGAACAGCGTGCGACTGTGAGATTTTGTTTCCTGCTTGGGAAAAATGCCGCAAAAAATGTTGTGATGTTGAACACAGCTTACAAGGACAGTGCTATGGGAAAAACTCCAGCATAGGAGTGGTTTTCGCGTTTCAAAAAAGATGAAAGGTCAATTGATGACAAATCTAGTTCTGGACACCTGCCTAGTTCCCAGATGAAAATGTTGACATAATTCATGCACTTGTGCTTGAAGCTCAACAATGGACCATAGAAGAGTTAGGGAGGTTATCTAGACTATCCTGGAACTCAGTTCAGTGAATTTTAACGGAAGATTTGGGAATGAGAAGGGTTTCTGCCCCTGGTTCTGACTGAACAGGAAAAAGAGCATCTAGTGGAAAGATGCCATGCTTTGAAAGAACAGCTCCTAAGCGACCTAGACTCTTGTTCCCAAGGCCATTAGTGGTGATGACACATGGTGCTATTGCTAACACCCTGAAAGCAAACATCAATCAAGCCACTGGGAGATGCCTTCCTCACCTTACCCCAACAAAAGTTAGTGAAGTGAAATCAAAGATCAAGACGATGCTCATTTGTTTTTTGATGTGAGGGTAAATAGTGCATTTGGAGTTTGTTCCACCAGCTCAGACTGTTAACCAAGCTTTCTATTGAGAAGTTCTGAAAAGATAGCGTTAAGTGTGTGACCAAAAAAGGGCCTGACTTGTGACAGATAGGGGACTGGTTTTGCCACCATGACAATACACCTGCTCATGTAGCCATCTCAGTGGATCAGTTTTGGAGAACAAACAACATGCCTCTCATGCCCCATGCACCTCACTCCCCTGACTTCACTCTGTGTAACTTCTTTTTGTTTCCATGAATTCAGGGGGACATGAAAGGACACCAATTTGAAAAAGTAGAAGGGGTAAAGCAAAAAACAAGGGAGGAGCCGTTAGCCATCCAAACAGATGAGTCTGAAAAATGTTTCCAAAAATGGAATCACCGATTTGACAAATGTATTAAGTGTAATGAAGAATACCTAAAACACAATAAAGTTGTTTTGTAAAAAAATTTAAACATATAGCAGTGAAACAAAAATTCCAGGTTGTTGGGGTTCCCCCTCATATACATTTAGCATGGTAGTATATGCCAGTGAGGTTTTCCATGACCTTAGCATGCTTACCCCATAGGATGCGGCATTATGAAGAGGTATTAAACCACCTTTGTCTTGGGCATTAACATCCGCTCCATGCTCGAGGAGGTATTCAGCCACTTCCAGGTTATTGTAGCCTGCTATTAGAGTAAAACAGGGCAAAATGTCAGCTTAAAAGAAAGAGAGCAAAAAAACAAAAAGGCATCCATATAATAAATAAATGAATGAATCGATGAACTGCAAAATTTTAAGGTTGGAATACATGTTGCTGCAAAAGCGTAGTAGTGTCACATAATGAAGAGTTTCTACATTAAGAAATCACATACAATTTTACCAAATGTACTTTACTAACTAGTACTCTTTCTGCTCATTATTTTTTTCAACTTTCAGTAGACTGTAGGGATTCAAGGAAAAAAAAAAAGAGAGAGAGACTTGGAAGTCCTGTGATGCTTACCTGCGAGGTGCAGAGGGGTTGAGTTTCTGCCCTGCGTATCTCTGCAGTTGATATTCTCGGGGGTACAAAGTTTCTGCACTCTTGCCAGGCAGCCCTTCTTGGCAGCATCTAGCAAGGCTGCATCCCCTCTCAGTAAGTCTTGAATATCTGTGTCTCCCTCTTTTACCAAATCTAAAGGTGTATTTCCATCTCTGTTCTTTTTGGTTGGATCCGCTCCATGCTACAAAGAAGAAAGATCAAATGGGGTTTATGTTTTCTGTAGTATGCTGCTTCAGCTTTTTTTGGTTTTATTGTTTTGTTTCATTTTGATTCATTCTATCTATGCTTACCCAAAGAAAGATACCTATTGTTTAAAACTTTGAACATTCCTACTTAGGAATTCTTTACGTAGAAAGAGATTGCACAAGTTTTGTAACGACTGTGCAACCAAAGTGCCAAGACCAATGGTGATGGTGAAGGTGGAGGATGCTCCCTGCCCTTCACTTTTTATATAACATACTGCACACTGCATTTGGAAACGCTTTTCCTTTGAAGAACGGTCTCTACGTTAACTTTGACCAGGTTTTAGTTCTATACAGATAGTCAGGGATTATAACAAAACAGAGAAGGCGAGAGAATGAGAAACAGAGAAGTAGAAAACACACTGGTGGGAAAATCACTTAATTCTTAAAGTAAAATGCATAAGGGAAAGAGCTTGGCACTGTTTTTAATATTTTCACTAAAATCTAATTCATCCCTCATAAAATCAAGTGCAAATGGATTACAAAGAACTTGATTTAATAATTTAACCACCTATACTTAGGAAATAAATATAGTTTTACCAACTGCCATCCCTCATAATGATCTTAGAGGATAAAGCAATCTGTATGGGAGCAAAAAGCCTCATATTTCTCTTGTGGAATAATTAGTGGGTTAGAATTACTGACTTTATGGTTAGCAGCCCAATGCTTTAATTGTGCTGCACAGTTAACATTTTTTATTATGGGCCTGACAAAGGATGCTGTTGGCACACTATGGAAATTAGGACTGAACCAATGACCTGAGACCTATTTCTTACTAACCATCGGCAATAAAAACAGATGTCAAATATGGTGTTACTCTCAAGACTCGAAACGTATTTGATACAATCAATCAATGAAAAAGGAATAAAAATTTTATTCATACTTAACCAGAAAAGAGAGAAAACTTCAGAAATACATTCCTGATGATTTTTCAATCCATTAACTTAAAAAGAACCCAGAATTATCAATTTCATACAAACACCAGTTTTTACTATTTCACATGTGTACGTATATATATATTGATATAATTTTGTTTAGAGACTAGGTTCCCAAATTTTTGGCCTACCCCTTTGCACGAAAATAAAATAAAAGAAAAATCAATCAGTGTCCCCCTGGCAATGAAAACCTTTTGAAAATAGTCCATAATCTAGAATAAAGTGTAGGTATCTGCTTTTGCAGCCTCCTGAATAGTTCCAGTGCCCCACTGAGGCCACTACGCCCTCTTTGGGTAACAATGGTTTAAAAAAATCTTTTATTTTAATGAAAGTCTGATAGTAAGCTAAGTTCCTATATGACTAATGTTTAAAACTGAGGAATCAGTAAGTTAATATATAAATAAATAAAGAGCCAATAGGAAAACTCACATTTTATTTTAAAATTCCTTTTTTGCTTGCATAATTTTTTTCCTCCTGATATTAATACTGAGTTTTAGAAGTAAGGCAAACTACTTCAACTCTTTTCAAAGCCTACCTTAAAGTCTGACCTGGCCAGAAAGGCACTTCCGGCCTTTCTTAAAGCTACGTTAGTATCATGATAACAACTTAAACATCCCCCTCAGGTGGAGAATGGAAGAGCTTTCTACAACATTTTAACAGGCTAACAAGTACTTTGATTTAATGTTAAGTTGTAACCGACAATTATATTGATTACTTTGTATTTTATAATTTTAAAAATTACATACTTTTAAAAGGAGTTTGCATATTTCATATTTTCCTTTAGCTGCTGCTTCATGTAGTGGGGTAAATTTCCATAAGTCTGCTACGTTGACAGATGCGCCATGCCTTACTAAAAGCTCAGCTACTTCATAGTGTCCATATGAACAGGCATTATGAAGAGGTACCAAGCCACTAAGCAAAAGAAAATTATTTTAAAGTCATATAACAAATGCTTTATGTTAAAACAACTCCTAGAGTAAAAATAATACAATTCTCTATTTTCTATTAATACAATTCTTCTATTCCCTTTGGGTTTTTAAGATATTAGTCTTTCATTTCCTAATAAGGATTATTAATTAATTTCTTAGGGATGAAAATATATTCCACAGTCATCCTTTCTAGGTTGCAACACATATAAAAATGTACTCAAAAAGAATAAAGTACCATCACAATACAGTTTTTTCTCGTGGTTATACGAGGGGTATCCCCCCCAAAGCTATGTATTTACTTTTTTTTTTTTTTTTTAACAAAACAACCATATCACCTTCAAAGTACTCTCCATTACACTGAATCCATTTGTCAAATCTGTGATTCCATTCTTGGAGGCATTTTTCAAACTCATCTGTTTGGATGATTGACAGCACCTGCCTCGTTTTTTCCTTCACCTCTTAATTGCTGCCTTTCATGTCCCTCTCCATTCTCGGACACAATTAAGAAGTCTCACTGAGTGAGGTCAGGTGAGTAAGGTGCATGGGGCAAGAGAGGCATGCTGTTATGCCAGAGACTGGTGCACAAAGATAGCTGCATGAGCAGGTGCATTATCATGGTGGAAAAATCAGTCTCCAGTCTGCTATAAATCAGGCCTTTTTTTGTCATGCTATCTTTCAGAACCGGTAAATCAGGTTCTCAACCTGTGGGTCACGACCCCTTTGGGGGTTGAATGACCCTTTCACAGGGGTCACCCAATTCGTAACAGTAACAAATTACAGTTGTGAAGTAGCAACAAAAATAATTTTATGGTTGTGGGTAACCCACAACATGAGGAACTGTATTAAAGGGTCGTCGCATTAGGAAGGTTGAGAACCACTGGTCTAAATAGAAAGCTTGATTACCAGTCTGACTTGGTGGAATGAACTCCAAAGGCACTACGAGTCTAACATTTTTGTTCATTCAAGAAGTTGACAAGCATCCAGAATGAGGTTTGTCATAAATCGACATTTCACCTTTCTTGAAATGAGAAAACCACTTATACACCGGAGTTTTCCCATAGCGTTGTCCTTTAAAGCTGTGTTCAACATCACACCACTTTCTGTGGCATTTTTCCTAAGCAGGAAACAAAATTTCACAGCTGCACGCTGTTCTCATAAATTTGCCATCACAAAAAAACAAGGTTCGAGTGAAAATGCTTTTACAAAATAATTCATTGTGACCAGAGAGAACCTTCCCAGGAGATGCCACTGGGTGCTTTAACTCAGTGAGTTGCTGGATGCTCAACTAGGGGGAAAAATGCATACTATGAAATTCTGCTTCGCCCAGCCCAATTCCGGGGTTTGGGGTGGCTTTTTTGGGTACCCCCGCATATAAATAGTAACAGTATCAAGTGATTAGGTTAATAATCAACCAAAAATATTATTTCATCAATTCTCAATTTTCTTCCATCTCAGTTGGGTTTTTCTTATTATTTTTTTATTTTTTAAATCATTTTATTGGGGGCTCTTGTAGCTCTTACGGTGTTTTTCTAATTAATGTACTCAACAAGAGAAACAGCGCTGTCAATTCTAAACTCTTGTCAGGTAAGAGACACGCTAACTACCCCAACTGATGAACAAACTATTCTGAGATTAGTCTATGTTCTAGTTGAAACACAGTTGGCATTCCAAAGGATCAAAAAGATGCATCCACATACAAGGGGATTATCAAAAGGAAGTGAATTATGCTATACTTCAGACATGTCAAAAATAAGATCAAATTTCCTTTTATTCGCGGGATTAAGAAACCCAATGCTTCTGCGGCAGTTCTTATTCATAGCACCTTGCATAGGCTTTCTAGCGCTGTAAATCTTTCTGGGATCAGATAGCCGCATCTTTCTCCCTTGAAGTAGTTGATGGGCTTGAACTGCTGACTTAGCAGTTAGCAATTCAATGCTTACCTGACAGTGCCATCAGGGCTTCTTATTTGGAGAGATCTGTGTCTTAAAATAAAATGTTTCGGGGGGAAAAATATTTTGATGCTAAATATGCTAAGTGCCAAAAGAGGCAATGGGAAATAAATGTCATTATCCAATACTTTATTTCTATCTATATGTCTGTCTTTGGCTAACTGTAACTGAAGTTGAATGGCTTTAATTCAACAGTAGTTTGCCATGTAATGGTATAGAAAGTTTCTGGTTTACTTGTATTTTGAGACAATATGAATTTAACTCAAAATTTACAGAATACTCAAAATTTACAAAATACAGACTATTTAGTTCAGTTAAAATTCCTTTCTCAGATTTTAAAATAGTTTCAACAGTCCCTTTAAGCGTTGTCTCAATAAAGTCACATGATTAAAAACATGGAAATAAAATATAAGAATCAGTAAAAGTAATGTTTGTATTACACTCATGATTTGGGGTTAGATGGCTTTTAAAACAATATATACCGTATCTACTTGAGTATAAGCCAACCAGAATATCTGCCGAGACACCTAATTTTACCAAAAACTGCATAAAAATGTGCTGAAAACTCAGCTTGTACTTGAGTATATATGGTATTTTTAATAGCAAAAAAAGAGGATGCTGTGAACTATAAAGACACATTCATGTAATACCATAAAATCTTTTATACAAGCATTAAAAGAGTGAGATGTACTAAGCACTGACCTACAAAGACATTCGGCATAGACTATTATTGTTAGCTGCTGCGGACTCAATTTTGGTGAACACATGAGTGCAGGGTAGATTTGCTTCATGGGGTTTTTGGGTCTGGCAGATTCAGAAATACATTTCTGCACCTGCCTTCTAACTTTGCATCACCAGCCTTCCAGCTAATCATCAGGCACTCAACCATTTGCACCACCCAGTGACTCCTCAAGATTTACATGGTACTTACTGGATGGAAAAAGCAAACTGCAAATCAGATGGCACAGAATGACACTGTCATGTGTGGGGTGAAAAAAACCTCCACTACCCTCAGAAACGGAATACACACTGTTATAAGCACTTAACAAAATCTGGAATTATATACAAAATTTTAATACAGTAATTGATCTCTGGAGTCTGGCTGTTAGTAATTTTCACTTTCACTATTGTTCAAGTTTCTACAGTGCTGCTTTTTTTTTAGTACGTTATATTTTTTAATGGGGAGAAGGGTCTAAGACTTCAAAACTATTTACAAAAAAATAAGAAAAATATGACAACAAGAAACGCCAAAGAACTATGTTTTAACACATACCCTTTGTCTTTGGCATGGACATCGGCCCCATGGTGCAGAAGGTACTCCACAACAGACACCCGGTTGTAGCCAGCAGCAAAGTGCAAGGGTGTAGAATGCCGGCCCTCCAAGTCTCTGCAGTTCACATTTTGAGGGCTGCAAAGTTGCTTTTATAGCACACACACACACACACACACCAAAAAAGCATTAATATTTATTCATAGATTTTGCAATAAAAATATTACAGCATCTGGATAAACGAATGTTCTAATGAATATTTATTTTAAAAGACTAGCTAATACAAATGATGTTTAAAAATCAGTACTATGTTTGGCTTAACAGTGATAACAAATATTATTCCTGCTTAATCTTTTTTTGAAAAAAACATTTCGAAGCCAACATCCTAGTCAAACAGAAAAATCCCTGAGCATTTTCAAGGTCAAAGATGCTTCCCTTTTTTCTAATGAAGGCCTCTGATTGCCTTGATACTGCTTGTCCCAGAACGTCTGCTTGTATTGTCTACCATTTTCTTAGCCACCTTTTGCTCCAATGAGACTGCAGAACTAACCCACTGCTTTCCTATCATTGGATAGAGCACGCAGGCAGGCTCTCTGAAACGGATTTTAAGTATTTGGACCACTTACCTTGCCCTTTGTTCCACTGCAGCAGAGTAATCAACAGTAATTGATTTGTTGGGGAAAATTTGTCTAACCCTACAAGTCAAATTGATTCTAATCACACCCTAGTTTGGGGTATTTCCTTCTAATGTTTGTTCCCCTTATGAACCTTCAAGTTTCTGCCTCCTTCTTTCCCTCTGATTGGACCATTTCTGCACCATTAAAATCAAGCTCAACTACGTTTTCATAACAAAAAGCAAAACAAAGAATAATTGGCTGCGTGCATCACTGCTGGTGATAGGTGGGCTGTTTAACAATAACAGTTGAATAATTTGCAATTTATATAAAATGTCACATTCTTTAGGGAGAAAATTATCTGTCTTTGAAGCTGATCACTACTCTCCTACAGATATCCAGTCCTTTCTCCTGAGAGCTGCTGGCGGTTTTGAAATGCTGACTGTGTGAATCGTAGGCCAACATGTACCCAATATACCACCAGGGCTCCTAAATGGGTCAAAGGGAAATTACATTTTATCACATATCAAATAAGATACTACATTTTAGCCTAACAATATCTACACTAATCATATCTACGATGCGCTACGTCTGCTAACAAGGCTATTCACATCCCTCAATTATGGTCCAAGGCAATTCACTGGAGGCTTAATTTCTGTATAGACCATACCAATGGATTTTGGGCCTCCACTGTCATCCATTGCCTTCTGCAAACCAGGTGTTCACAATTTAAGCTTTGATACCATTCTCTCCTTTGGATGACTTGAGTCACTTTACTTATAAGCTTAAAAAGAAGTTGGTGAGTAAAGGTTAGGAATGGTGCTGCCTAAGCCATTCACTGCACTGACTTACCTTCACAGTTTCCAAGTCTCCAGCTTTAGATGCCTCTAAGAGTCGATAGTCAACATCTGAAGTCCGCATAGGTGTACTTTCTGTATTGGGGGTCGGAAATGAAGTAGGGTGGGGTTATTACTAGTTCCTGAGGAATCTTAGTTAAAAAGGGAAAACTGGTCATTGGGAAGAGATTAAGGGATGAAAAATTTTTGAGATCTAATACAAGTTTTTACCCAATCTTTTTAAGATAACAATTAAATGATATAGTACTTCAATCCATACCCATCTCTCATCTTAACCCTAATTTAAATACACTCTAAGACATAAGTCCTTCTCCATCCCTATTACTGGATCCCCCACAATTTCTGGTTAAAAATTTTGGCAAGGGAGAATGAGGACACATAAAACCAAGAGATCAAAGATCAAGACCATCTCGGTGCTATATTGATTGTATGGTGTTTTAACCATGATTTGGCACAGATTTCTTATGCAAAAACTAAAGCATTTACTCAACTTTCAATACTTCGTTGATCCCCACGATCAATTCCAGAACATTTTTTCTTCCATGTACTCACTGTTAGCTCCCATTTCCTGCTAGCCTCTCCTCTCATGGCTCTTTGAATCTTTTAATCCAGTTGTTGTCTGTATGGTTTTACTTCTTAAAATGATTAAAAGTCAAGTTGGTCTTTTTGGTACAGTGACTCTACTCTTTCCGCCCTCTTTGGATGCTGCCCGTATCATTCAATACTTTTCTCATAGAATCTTTCTATGAGAATATTGCAACTTGAGGCTTGAATTTTTTTCTTCAATCCGTTCAGTTTAAGGTAAGGTGAGTGTGTTCTACCTTTTTGGTATTCTAAGTCTAGTCATTTTAATAACCGACTTTGTCTTTTGGGGCTGCCCTTTGCAATTCTCTCTTTGACTCCTTTATTTCATCATTTCTTCCATTTACCTTAGCTACTCTAAGATTAAGAACAATTTGCAGTCTCAAAAGTCTTAGGATAATTAGTGAGAAACAAAAACAAGGGAAAAACCCCTTGAAAATAGATATTTGCTTAATTCACATTTATTGAATGGCTTCAGGGAAATTTTAATGTCTATATAACTGAGAGGTATGATATAAATTCCAAGGTAGAATATAATTAAATCAGGCTGTTAAGCCTAGAAGTATGAGGCTAACAACTGGGGCATTTTGATTAATTCAACATAAACAAACCAAAAATCCCACTTCACATTGGCCCAAATAAAACACGTTTTTAAAGACGTGTTTGAGGCCCAAGAGAACTAGATTTCTCACTTGAGTTTGGGTATCTGTGGCTTTGGGCTAATCGCTGAATCACTAGGCTTTTTTCTTTTAACCTATAAAGCGAGCCTTTCACATTTTAGACTGCAGTATCTTAAGATCAGAGACACCGCTCCTGAATGGTGATTTCTTCACAGTCAAAGTGGGAAGATCAAGTGAAGCTATGAAACGTTCCAGATTTCAGAAGAAACACTCCAGATCTTCCTCATCTAGAGTGTATTTTGCTTTCAGAGAGGAAGGCTAGAGAACGCCTGAGCTGTGTATCCAACCAGTCACACCAGCCACCTTGCACATACTCCTGACTCCACTCCACTCCAGGGTCTTTTTTCTCGGTGGTTCTCAAGTCTTCTCTTTTCGCGTTTCTTATTCCTTTTATCTTTATAAGGTAAAAAGTGATACAAGCCACATCCCAGGGGCACTCCCCATACAACAGAGCAGGGCTGTGATCTGAGTAAGGGAGTTGCATTTTACCCCAATCCTCTTGTATCTAATCAGCTCACCACATCATAGGGCATGATTGCTATTGTTACGTAACTGCCAAACCACTGAGAATCATAACCCAGCCATGGTGACACATATTTGGGGGCTGGGAGAGAGACTCACACAATTCAACCCATAACATTTCATCCCTTGTCCACCCTCACAAAATTCACACCCTTGCTATATGCCAAACACATTTTTGTCATCATTTCATCCCCCAAGGCCTTATTGGCACATATTTTGTGGGACACAGTTCAATCCATGATAGACATGAAAAAAATTCAGACACAGAACAAACTACTATTTAAAACAAATGATACAAAGTGCGTCTGTGTCTCTCAGTAGAAATAGAACAAAAAGCGCAAAATACAAATTTGCTAGTTTAGCTCACCACTTAGAATCTGCTGCACTGCTTCATTTCCCATCTGTGCTGCCGTAAAGCCTTGGAGGGAGATGATGGAGGGATCAGAGCCATAACTCAGCAGGAGGCGGCAAGTCTGTAGGTGACCTGCTAAGGCAGCTCGATGCAAAGCAGTTTGACCAAGGGTGTCCAGTGCATTCATCTGAAAAATCATTTGGTAAGCACATGGAATTGCGTTCCTACTTTTTTCCCTTAATAAATAAATCCTTATGAGAAAAATCAATTGTTAAAAGATTTTTCACTCAACAATATTAACGAAAGTACCCAGTCTACCTTAATGAATTATGAAAACATGTTTCAAAATTACTGATCCAAAATATAACTTTTACCAAGTTATTCCTTGGCTCAAACTTGTGACTTTTCAGCATCTTGAATTTAAGACTGCATGTTATTTACTTTTATGTTACCTTCCTGCCTGTTTTCAGTTCAATCTGCCAGGCCTGCTGTGCTGCAGCCTTATTAGCACCCCATTTCACAGAGGTGTCACATTTCTAATGTCATTGTGAGGGTATTAGTTGCCTTTATTCAAGATAACTTTTACAACCACCTTAGCAAAAATGTTATGATCGAATTAAACATAACGTTTCTCAAAAAATCCAACACCAACTAGTTTTACCTCCAACAGATCAATTCAACACCGAAGTACAGATGTAACTTGGGGCATTAAAAACACATGATGTGGAAGATGAGGTTCTCACTATAATTAAATGTGGTAAAAGTAAATGCAGCAGAGAAACAACAGATTCACTTTGTCTCATCTCTAACTCACTTTGTGGCACTTGCTGAAGAAGTGAAACGTCCAACAGTGTAAGATATGACAAAATAGTAATTCATAAATTATCAAGGGTTCATAAAGGAGGGAGAGTGGGGAGGGGGTAAAAATGAGGAGCTGATGCCAGGGGCTTAAGTGGAGAGCAAATGTTTTGAGATTGATGAGGGCAACGAATGTACAAATGTGCATTACACAATTGATGTATATATGGATTGTGATAAGAGTTGTATGAACTCCCAATAAAATGATTTTTTAAAAAGATGTGAAACAATGGGCAAGGTCACCTCTCATTGATATTAAATTAATGTTTCTTATTTTGCCTACTCTCTCAGAGAGGAGAGACTTCCTAGGTAAGTAGTCTCCTAAGGAAGGGGTACAACAAACATTTACTAAGCACTTACTAATATCAGGCTCTGAGCTGTATCTAAATGCTAAGATCTTTAAGAACAATAATCATAACTTAATCTACATATAAATCTGCCCTCTATTCCCAACTCACAAGAAGCAACAATGTCTAGGACATCACTGGAGCTATACAAATGTCTTCTGAACAAAAAAAATATATAAATGATTATTATCATCTTTGTGATTTATATAAGGTATTTACTCATTCTATAAGTTGTACTGTACCTGCATTGTAGTATTTCAGGAAACCAAATTTCCTTAAAGTACAGGAAAATCAGTGTAACCTCAAATATTCTGCTTCAACAAATGCATGCTCTTTACACTAAAAAAGAACATTATATCTCTTACCTTAAATGCTAAAAAATATCACAGCAATAAAGAGTATCTACAGCTTGCTTATCAGACAACAAAACTGAAACACTACAATGCAATAGAAGTACCTGTTCAGTGGGACTGTTACCCAGGAAAACAATGGGTAATAGATGTGGGACACTAAAGTGACATTCAGTAAGGGTTTTTGTGAGAAAGAATTATTCCTCATGAAAAAGTGTACTCCACAAATTATCTTCACCCAAGGAAGTTTCAGACATTTCTTTTAAAACCTTTGCCAGCAGACATCTCCCTCAGGCTGGGACTAGAAATGTGGCCTGGGACCCAAAGCCCATCTGGAGGCAACTGGATATCCCCTTGCAGAAGGGTCGTGGGGAGGAGACAAGCTAGTCAGGGTGCAGTGTACCAACGATGAAACATACAACTTTCCTCTAATTCTTTAATGCTTCCTCCCCGCACCCCCACTATCATGATCCCAATTTTACCTTACAAATCTGGCTAGACCAGAGGATGTACACTGGTACAGATAAAAACTGTAAACACAAGGAATCCAGGACAGATGAAGCCCTCAGGACTAGTGGTGAGAGTGGCGATATCGGGACAGTGGGGGGAAGGTGGGATAGAAATGGGGAACCGACCACAAGGATCTATATATAACCCCCTCCCCGGGGGACAGACAACAAAAACATGGGTGAAGGGAGACATTGGACAGTGTAAGACATGAGAAAATAATAATAATTTCTAAATTATTAAGGGTTTGCAAGGGAGGGGAGCGGAGAGGGAGTGGGTAAAAATGAGGATCTGATACAAAGGTCTCAAGTAGAAAGGAAATGTTTTGACAATGATGATGGCAACAAATGTACAAATGTGTTTGAGACAATGGTTGTATGTATGGATTGTGAAAAGAATTGTGTGAGCCCTCAATAAAATGATTATAAATAAATAAATAAAAATAAAAGGATCCTAATGGTAAAACATTAAAAAAAAATGTGGCCTGAATAATCTCAACCTACCAATGATTTACTTAGCAAGGAAAATGAGATTACGAACATGGGTTCAGATCCAACCTGAAGCACATGGTCTCCTATACATTAACAAAACAGGCTTCAACGGAAAGTATTGACCAATGACCAAAGGGCCACTATGTTATATCAGTGGGGAAATTTAACCAAATGTTGTGGATAAATTTAACCAAAGTCCATTGTTGTCCATTCAACCAACTCGTAGAGATCCTAAAGGAAGAACAGCACTGTCCCGTAGGGGTCCCAAGGCAGAATGCCACATTTGTCTCCCATGGAGAGGCTGGTGGTACAAACTGTTGATATACAACCACAATTGGCTTATGTAGGGAACCTATGATTATGATTTTAAAATGTCACAATAGTTCTGGAAACTAGCAAGTCCACTATAGGAGATGGCCTCTGAGATAGTTAAGGTTTATTGTGCCAACCTGGCTGATGAACACATGTGGGATTAATTGAAGGGCAGAGAGATAAATGGCTCGGTGAGCCTCAACTTTATAGTTCTCGGGTCTCTTGCTTTCTGATGGTCGAACCAGGGTGAAGCTGCCTTAGCCAGTTCCCTGCTTCAGCTGGCAAGGCTCACTTCCTGTGAGACATCCTGAGGAGAAGCCACATGGACCTATCCCGATGCAGCCCTGGGTGCTGGAGGAGCTGTGTGGAGACCCCTGACAGTGCGGAGCTCATGCTCAATGATTCCGCTTTCCTCCTGCGGTCGGCACCATTCCATGTGTTTTGTGAGATGGAGGAGGACTTTGTAGAATGGTGTCAGACATATGGGCTAATGTTGGACTTAAGGGCTTAGACAGCACTGGGTTGGGATGCTTTCTTAATGTACACTTAGCCTTTATATAAAACTCTCTCTTATACATATTAATTTCTGTGGATTTGTTTCCCTAGTTTACCCAGATCAACACAGACTCTTTGAATAGTCTAGTCAGTGCTAGACTAATCTCACAGACTAATCTCACACAGCTAAGCTGCAGGCTGGGCCCATCTTGCTCTCCTAAACCTAAACCTATAGTGGTCCAGATAATTTATTTGGCAATTAATCTTAAACTCTTCTGTGATAATTCTATATCTAGGTGTGGACTGTTAACTCATACTATAATCGTACTTTTACTGTGAACACGCTTGTGATGTTTCAATCCAAAACCCGATTTTAAATAACTTGAAAATTAAACACAGCCTCTGTATTATTTTACTGGGAGGGACAGCATATTTGTCTTGCCCAAGCTATGGTATTTTGAAAGTCAGAGGGAACAATAAAACATAGCAGGTATGAACGGGCCTACAACAGAGGAAGCAAAGCCAGGGCCCGGAAGCAGTTCTCTGTCCAGGTGGGCAGAGACTGTAATCTGGAGAAGAGGTGACAGACATGTCTCAAGCTTGAAAGAAACACTATTGTAATATCATTTCTCTTTACAAAAATCCTAAAAGGCTAATTTTGTTAAAAATTACCAAATGAGACCACCAGCGACTATACATCTATCTTCAATCTCTATTACTATAATTGGTTTTAGAAGAGAAAATGGTGTTCCTACAAAGTATCTCCCTGATGCTGATTTTACTTATGTCACCTGACCACTTCAAAACTTTCTAAGGCTTTCCAAGCATCACAAGACAAAGTTTAAACTCTCTCTCTAATTGGGTCTACCATGTTCATGTGCCAACCAATCTCTTTACATTTTTACTATTCTCTTTTTTGTGTATCTATTTGGATACACTAATCATAAAAATCCCGCTTAAAATATATACTTTGCTTTCTTGATTTTACAATATATCCTTCACAGTTCCCGATTGTCTATACTTCTAATTCCAGAACATTCAAATGTCTCCAGTCATGTCCTTACTCTACTACAACCACTAATGAATTATTCTCTCCTCTGAATTTCAATAGCAGTCTACATAAGTTTCTCAAGTTGTATGTATTACTTTCAAATATGTATAACAGTTATCATTTACATGTTAAGACAAAATTACTATTAGGTTTTAAGTTACTTTGAAAAGGATCTCAATCATATTCAAACTATAAATATCTCCCATAGCAATAAATAGAATGCCTTGTAGAAATGTGCCTTTAAAGATAGTTGGTATACAAATGACTCACCAGAGCAAGAGATCAGTAAATTTTGATAAAGAAATCAGTTTTCACCATAGTATTCTATATATTGGATAAACATTAGAGAATACTAAGGTATCTATCTAGCCCAAACTCAAGTATTCCACTTTGTCTAAAATATGAAGAAAGTAAATAATTGCAGTGTTTATAGAACTGCTGAATACTGAAAAACAACCAACTCATTTTATCTGCAATAAAAGTATAATTTAGCTTTCTATAATCTACTTTTACTGACGTATTTATAAATCAGCATTATCTTTGGTGGGATAGCTGAAGCATCCCCTGTGAGAAAGAGGGAAATGACCACAGTTGAGTTCTTACACAGTAACCAGCATTTCACTTTAAAAGGTTTTTAACGTTTTAATGTATTGAGGACTCACTTCATAATATATGATATTCATCTGAGTAATTTAAAATTTAAAATGGAATTTAAAGAAGAAATGAAACCAAGTTTACTAACAGAATTTGAGTATATTATTATTTTATTTTTGTGC